CAACATCAGCTAGGAGCTTCACTGAAAATTTAAATTTCTTGGCTGCTCTTTAGGGTAGTTGGCACTAGTCCAGTTTTATGCACTTAGAACTTGAGATTGGTATAATTTGCTGAGTCTTTGATAGATTGTATATAACAGAACTCATCCCACAGTCTTGTCTTTAGGGGAGGAACTACACATGGGGAGGCCTGAGAGCTGCTCCCAGCTTAGTGCCAGGATTACTCCTGGCAGTGCTCAGGGGACCAGGTGGTGCCAGGATCTAACCCCAGAATCTGATTGTACGTACTCCAGTCATGTTGGGTTGTGGTTTTTTGTTTTTTTTTTTTTAACAATCACTATCACCCTGTTGTTTATTGATTTGCTCGAGCGGGCACCAGTAACGGCTCCATTCTTCTCTGTCGCATGCTAGTGTAGCCCGATGGCATATTGGGGCTCTTTCAGGGTCGGGTATGAGGATCATCATTGTTAATGTTTCTGGCATATTGAGTACACCATGGGTAGCTTGCCGGACTCTCCAAGAGGGATGGAGGCTTTTGGGGCAGCCTCTAATCACCTTTACAGGTGTTCCCAGTCAGGCATATATGCGGGCAAGATACTCTCGGTAGCCTGCCAGGTTCTCTGAGATTGAGAACTAGACAATAAGAGGTCATGCGGCCGCACATTTCCGGGAACTTGGTTTTCTAGTCTCTGGATCTTAGCCGTTGATGGGGTTACACAGCAGTTGGTGGGTATAACTGTTTAGCTACTGGAAGATGGGAGATCTGGGTGGAGGAGGCCCAGTCCTGAACCGAGCAGGCTTGGAGATCTCAGCCTGGGTCCCGCACACCTGGGTTCCTCTGCTGGTTCCTTCATGCATGAGGCTTGTCCTAGCATGTGGAGAGTAGTCTCAGCATTGGCTGTGGCTGGGTCCCAGAGGTCTTCAGCTGCCAGGGCTCTGCTCGGGGCAGAGAGGGAAACTCAACCCGCCCCCCTCCAAGGGGCCCCAGTGAGGATAGCCAGGCACAGAGGCAAGAGACTTATTTTTGTTCAATAAACAGTAACTTTATTGAAATAAAATTTACATATACAGTTTACCCTTTTAAAGTGTACAGTTTCAGGCTGGAGCGATAGCACAGCAGGTAGGGCATTTGTCTTGCACGCGGCTGACCTGGATTCAATTCCCAGCATCTCATATGGTCCCTTGAGCATTGCCAGGAGTAATTCCTGAGTGCAGAGCCAGTAGTAACCCCTGTGCATCTCCCGGTGTGACCCAAAAATAAATTAATTATTTAATTAATTCAGGCCTGGGGGCTGGAGTGATAGCACAGTGACCCAAAAAGCAAAAACAAATCCAGGCCTGAAAAGATCATACAGTAGAAGCAAGGAGCTTGCTTTGCCAGGACTGACCCTAGCAAAAGGTGGTTCAAATGCTTGGCACCACATATATGGTCTTCCAGCACTGCCAGGGATCACTCCTGAGCACTGAATCAAGAATGAGCACAGCTCAGGTGTGGCCCAACTCCTTCCCCCCAACCATAATGTCTGACTCAAGCTAAGAGAGGTATTACAGAGATTAAGACAAGTCCTTGCATGTGACCAACTGAAGTTTGATCCCTAGCACCACGTGGTCATTCCTGGCGAGTGTGACCCCCCAAGCACCATACACACCACAGGTCCTAAGCAGCACTGCATCCTTGGGTCCCATTCTACCATGAGGGGTCTTCAGGCCTCCTGAGCACTGCTTGGGAGCCTGGGGGAGGGGCTGGGGAGTGTACAACTCAACAGTCTGTCGTGTATTGATCATGTTCTTTGTGTATGTGATTAAATATGTATAACTTCGCCATTTTGTTCTCCTGCCCTCTATTGCCATTTTGTGTGTATTATTCACTGGCCTCATTTATATTTCCACCCTGTTCCCAAAACTTTGTTACCCCAAACAGAAATTCTTAGCCATTAGTAATAATTTGTTTCCTGTCCCAGAGTCCTTGGTAGTAATCCCTTTCCTTTCATTTCATTTGTATGGATTTGCCTATTCTAGGTACTTACTACACTCAAGAGAAACCATAAATATGTATCCTTTGATTGTGGCTTACTTCACCTACTAAAACTGAGATCTCTAACAACAGAGAATATGCAAATTCCCGTGTGCCTAAAACAGAGATAAAGCCCACATATTGTAAGTGTTTTGTGATACAAAATTTGAAGCAAAACAGGACTGTACTAGTAATCTGGTTCTCCCATGTACAGTAGTACATGGTATAAATGCTCATGTATTCATATCTCTGGGTTTTTGGTTTTTTTTTTTTTTTTTTACTTTGGAGTCAGTTATTCTATAGTAACTAATTGAAGTACCATATAGGTTGTTAACCAAAACACCCAAGTACTTAAATGATAGCTGTTATCAGAGTAGAAAATCCTAAATAAATCCTGGCCCCTAGCCCTATCCTTCTAGATAATTACTGCCTTCTGGAATCACTTTGGGAAGAACTGGAATTAGCATGGAAAAGAACAGCACTGTATTAACTACTGGGTTTTTAAGCTTTTTAGCAACAAGGGACCTATCAAAACTCATGAAGGGAGAGAGAGAAAGGATAACAACTAGAATGAGGAAATGAGGAGCAGACCTAGAAATAGGCCTTAATTGTCCTTATTGTGTGGTATATAAATATGCAACTGTCCATATGTGATAAATATCTTAATGAACTTTAGATATAAAAGTAATTTTAAAAATTTAATTGAGGGACCGGAGCAATAGTACAGGCAATAAGTCATTTACCTTGCATGCAGCTAACTTGGGTTTGATCCCCTGGCATCCCATAGAGTTCCCTAAGCACCTCCAGGAATAATTCCTGAGTACAGAGCCAGAAGTAACCCTTGAGCATCGCAGGTATGTCCCAAAAACCAAAAAATTTTTTCAGCTAACAGTGGCTGCCGGTGGGGGATGGGGAGCAATAGTAAAGGCAAAAATAAAGAAGCATGTATTAAACATGGATCGATACACTTTTATCACTATAACCTTTATATTGAGGAAACTGAGTTACAAAATTACATCACCTTTTTTTTTAAGGTAATATGGCACGTCAGGGGCTGGAACAATAGTACTGTAGGTAGGGCACTTGCATTGCACATGGCTGACCTGTGTTTGATCCCCAGAGCCACATATGGTCCCCTGATGGATGTGCCCTCCCAAGAGATAAAAATTCGCTATATATATATATATATCATCACACTATTCCTCGTGCTGCTTTTCTACTTAACACAAAAATAAATCCTGCTTATGTTATGCTTCCTTCCCAGAGTGGTTTCAGGCGCGCAGAACCTAGGAATGTGGATTAGTGGTAGAGCACTTGCTTTGCATCTGTGAGGTGCCTAGTTTTATTTCTGCTACCATATTATCACTCCCTAGTCCCTCCCCTAACCCCCAACATTAGGACATGATTGTTGTAAAACATGTGCTGGGAATCCAAGAATATACTCCCAGCCCTTTGAGAGATCCCCTGGCTCCTTCCTGATGTTCTTGAGTCTTCAGAACAATTTGAAAACCATTTCCAAAACAGATTTTGTCCTCCCCTTGATGAGCAGCACTGTCCTTGTTCCCTGACAGTAGGTCGAATTTCTACCACCCTGTAGTTTAAAGTAGGCCCACAAGTAAGGGGAATGAATCAACGGACTAGTGTGCATACTTTGCATGCAGGAGACCCAGGATTGAATCCTGGCACCAGGTGCCCCTGAGTACCACCAGGTGTGACCCTGAAAATCTAAGTCTTGATTAAGTAGACCCAAGGCTGGAGCAATGGGCAGGGTGCTCGTCTTGCATGCAGCCAACCTGGCTTCAATCCCAGCACCCTATATAGGGTTCCCCGAGCCCCATGGAGTATAGGACCAAGAGTAAACACAAAGTTGGGTGTAGCCCCAAAACAACAGGAGGCTGGGAGGGAAATAAAAGGCCCAAAGAAAGATGTTCAGGAGCCAGTGATAGTCCAGTGAATAGAGTGTTGTCCTGTTCACTGCTGCTTTGTTCTGGCCGACCTGAGTTGGATCCCCAGCACCCATATGGTCTTCCAAGGCTATCAGGAGTGAGCCCTTAGCACTGTTAGGTGTGGCCCAAAAATAAAAACAAAAAATTCAGGGCTGGGCCTCCTTCCCAGCAATTGAAAAGGGTCAAGGAATGGACTAGTAAGGAGCACTGACATGATGAGAGACATCTTGGTGATAGCAGTAACTTTTTTTTTTCTTTTTGGATCATACCCAGCAATGCAGAGGGGTTATTCCTGGCTCTGCACTCAGGAATCACCCCTGTTGGTGCTCAGGGGACCATATGGGATGCTGGGAATCGAACCCGGGTTGACCGCGTGCAAGGCAAACACCCTACCCGCTGTGCTATTGCTCCAGCCCCACATCCATACATTTTTAATCTTGTGTCACTTGACATTTTCTGAGTGTTAATTTTGGGCTTCGTAGCATATTGGGAATGGGGAAAGGGCTGCTTTGTACTGGGAGCTGCTTAACACATTCTCAGTAGCTAAGGAGAGTAGCACAACTGGGCTTATATTAATACTATACGTTTTTGGCACCTGTTGACTTAAGTGCTAAGAAAAATACAATTCTTTAAAATATACAGGCTCCAGAAGCCAAGAGATAATACAGTGAGCAAGGTGCTTAGATTGCACATGTCCGACCAGAATTCAATCCCCAGCACCCATATGTGATCCCAGTCACCACCAGGAGTGATCCCTAAGCACAGAGCCAAGAATAAGCTCTGGGCATATTTGGTCCAAAAACCAAACAAATTTTACAGTTTCTCAGGCTAGAGAGATAGTTGAAGAGTTAGGACATTTGCCATGCATAGAACTGGCCTGATTTGGTCATCAGCACCCCATATGGTCCCCAGAGCACCCCTGATGGTATAGCCCCCAAAGTGTACAGGTTCCTTTGGATTGGGCTGTATGTGGTTTAATGCAAAATTTGTTGTTTGTTTGCAGGGAAAATATTGATATTATCTTCTTCTTTTGTTCTTACAGGTTGGTGACATTGTGAAAGTTACAAGGATGAATATAAATGGCCAGTGGGAAGGCGAGGTGAATGGGCGCAAAGGGCTTTTCCCTTTTACACATGTCAAAATCATTGACCCTCAAAACCCGGATGAAAACGAGTGATTGCTGTCACCTTGTCTCCTGCTGCTTTGTTGTTCTGCCTGTCATAATCTCCTTTGATGTGGGAAAAGCTTTCTCTCATAGGCAAATTACACTGCATTGCCGAAGTCCAGCTGTCTGCAGACTGGTGATCCCATATACATTTGGAATGCACACAGTGATTGCCTCTGATGTATCATAGTCATTGTCAAAAAATAGTCAATTGTAGAGTTTGGAATCATAAACTGGAAATACTGGTGGAAGCACACAAGTGGAGAGAAGATGACAAGGAAAGGGTCTTTTCTTCTCCTAACTACTCTGTTCGTGTTGTGATTGATTCTGTCCTGTTCATCAGAGAAATCTTGAGGCCATGGTGAGACTTTGCACATTGCTGTTCCATGAAGCAGTGGCCCAGTTGCCGTTTTGTTTTTCCTTTGAAGAACAGAAGTAAACCTTAAAAAAGAATTCTGTCATCCTAAACTCCCCAAATTTGAATTCCTTTTCTCCTTTCGTTTTTATTTGGTATTGGAAGATGTAATTAATTAGACTTGCTGTTCTAAATAGGTTTGTTTTTACATAGCACATTGGACTTTTGTGATATTACAAGGAATATCCTGTGCCTCTGAACTTCTAACTTATAGCTGCTGTAACAAAAGGAATATGAAAAACAACCCTGAAGCAGAGGCCTTGATTCTCTTGGTTGCTGGTATCTTGTTTTGATATATTACAAACAACACAGAAGTCAGCAGTTCTGGTATGCCAGTTTGTGTGCACAGAGCATTGGAGTGTGTATGAGGGTGATGTGGGGAGCCCTTGCTTACCTTGTTTGCCAGTGACGAGGGTAGTGGCAGGGAGTACTTGGCCAGTTTTCTGTTTATCATATTAGTAAATGCACCCTTTTAAGGTTGTAGGATTTGTTTTCAAAGTGAGTTAATAGGATCATTTACTTAATAAATGCTCACTTCGATGCATTAAAACCCAGATCAAGCTTACCATGCTGCCAGGGAAAGATGGTGTTTAATACTGATTTCACAACCTAGATACCCATCATGCTCCCAAGCAGAGAAAATTTAAGATCCAGAAATTGGTTAATAAATTGATGTCTAATGTTTTGGTGAGCATCACAAACCATTAGCCAGTTCAACCGTTAACCACTTAACAGTTTGGTGTCAAAATTCTCCCACTAAACAGAGCCTATTGTTCATACAAGTCTTCTGGTACAAAGTCCACCCATTTCTCATCTGCTGCACATAGATAAGAATTCTGAACCTTTTGTGCACTTCACTTTCTGGACATTGATGAAGACAGGCCTCTGCTCAGAATTAATATATCAGACCTGGAAATGTAGTAACACCCCAGTGAGTAAACATAATTTACTGAGCATGTGCTAAAAAATAAAACCATGGTCCTGTCTTCCAAGGCTTTTAGTTTTGGGGAGTTTGAGCAGTGTATTGCTGGTGACAGGACCAACAGAACAAGCATTTTTCAGCTTCTTTTTAAAATCAGTATTTTTTTTTAACCAGGTAGGTAACTGCCATATTAAATCTTAAGAGATTTTTGGTGGCAAAATCATTGCAGGGTGGGGTGGGGGGTGGGAATCACTGTGGCTGTTTATGACTGATTTTTCTGGAAAGACTTTTTAGCTACTCCTAATCTTTGAGAACTGTGGCCACCTCCTACTCTGAAAATACCTGACTGTTGCAGTTTTGTTGGATTCAGGCACAGGCGATGTACAGCAGGTGGCACTTGTCTGGCAGAAATTCTGCTCTGCCTGGAAATGTTTGCCCTGTAGTCAGTGACCCAGAACCTGAGGGCATTGTCTAACAGGAGAAGGAATATATACTTTGCTAAAGGAAGGCACCTTTTAAAGTCAGATTTAGCTGAGAAGCTAACTACTTGAAATGACAGTAGTTGGATCAGAGCACAAGATATATATGGCATTTTTGGAAAGCAAGGTTTCCTTCTAGCCATGTCTACTGGCCTTTAGTAGGACCCACCTCATGCGGAGCACTTCAGAACCAGAATACCCCATAAACCTAGTTTTATTTTCTTAATACTGTTCATCACGTAAGCCCATATGTATGTATCCAGGACTGCTCGAGATTCAGAGCCCAAAATAAGGTGAGCTTTGAGTTCGGAACTCTAAAATGTGCCAAAAGTAGTGACTTTTTTACTTAGAAACATTAGCTTTTTAGTCACGCAGGGAATTTCTCTTTTTCACACTAAATACACAAAAACTGCACCCCGCCTCAGCTTTGTGCCTGGGTTCCGCAGTGATGGGGAAGACGTCTGTGCTTCATAAAGCAACATGAACCCTACCCAGAGGAGCTGCCTTCCCTCCTGGGTAGGTTTCTCGTGTAGGACTCTTCATCGTGGCAACTTGCTCTGCTCTTATGTGGTGTTTTAGAAAATAATTGGGTGGTTAAGTTAACTCGGGAAGTGAACAAGTTTTGTGCTAAAGGGTTCGTCAAAAACTTCTTACTGGAGAACAGTCCCCAGCCCTGGAGTCATCCTTCTCGTTTCTGCACAGTGTGGGGCCACCTGATGGCATGGCAAACAGAGGACACTGACTGGCTGCCATGCGACTGCTCGTCCAGAAAGTCATGTTCTGTGCTCATGGTTGGAAAACAGAAAGGAAGGAAGACTGGCTGCTCCACTGGGGCACAAGCATCCCTGGCACTGTGCCAACTTTCTTTTACATCTGTTTACAGATAGGGCGGGCCAGGACAGAAGGCTGGCCACTGCTCTCATAATGTTTGCTCAGAGGAATATGAACATTTTATTTTTGAAAAGGGATGATGTGTTTTTGTGCCAGGTGTTTATAATTTAATCCTTTAATATTCTGTTCATTAACCTCTTAAAAATGAGTGAATTCTTGATTGTTTAACACAGTACCTAAGACTCATGCTTTCTGTGGACACCACTGAGCTCTGCCTCAAACTCCACCCTCTGGGACCAGAGAACTCTGTCCCTGGTAACTGCTGTCAGTGTGGACACTGAGCTGGTTGTGTATTCTAAAGGAGTAGAAGGAAAGTTCCCTGAGACAGGGTCGTTGTCTCTGCAAGAGGAACAGTGGCCTTGCTTCTAGACGGTCTTCACTGTGTGTTTTAAAACAACAACACAAAACTCTTTTGACCTATAACTTAAAAGATCATAAATTTCAGGCAATAATATTTTTTGTGTATGCCTTCCAAATTATTTTTTGGGATCATAGCTTGTTTTATTTTGTGCTATAAAATTTAACAGTATTAAATGACTTATATTCTTAGAATACATTGAGTGTCTTTTCTTAACAGATTAGTGCCTTTTTATTTTTGTATTCCATTTTGCGTTTCTGGTCCCAGCATCAGAGCCCTTGTTTCCATGGCCTGTTTGTACATTGTCTCAATAAAACATGCATCAGCCAGTGGTGGCTGCAGCTTTGGTGTTTCAGTGTTTCCTCAGTGCTGCCTGGAGGCGGTTCCCCTGCCGGCCTCCCAAGCAGTTCAGCACCTAGTGAACACTTATGCAATAGTGAAACACCGTGTGCTTCTCCAGCAATTACGCTTTTGCTCATCTCAAAATAGAACAGACACTGGCATGGGCCCTTTTCCCCACTTGGGTCCTCCTTGCAGGAGAGAGCAGCTGTCTCCCAGTGGATCGGGGTGGGGGTGGGGGGGAGATTATGCTGGATCAGCACTCAGTCTTCTGAAGATGAGGCAATAGTCACAATGCTTTACACCACCAGGGACGCTTTATTTCGGGTATCCATTCTGAAGGTTTCTATGAAAAATTCTGCACATAGTAGGCGAAGTTGAACGGTTACAAGGAGAAGTGGGAAACAGCCTGCCTGCCTCATCCTAGAGAGGACATTATTGACTCAACTGTCCTTTTCCTGTCAGTAAATGGCCCTCCTGGAGAATGACGGGATCTTTAGGTAAGCAGTGTGAGGTGTTGGTGGGACCTTTTACTTTTCCTAGGACTTCAGCATGGACAACCTGCTAGCCAGAACCCTGCTCTCGCTGCTATTTATGTCTCCGTTAAGAGCCAAATTTTCTTGTGGTAAAACTCCGGAAATGAGTTTCAGGAAGCACTACTAATCCATATTTATTTGTATGCTGCTAAAATATGCTCTCTGGCTTCTATTTAAGGATTCTGTGAATTTATGAGGATAATAGTTTGCCTCAAACAGTCAAATACCTTATGGAAGAAATAGTCCTCAGATACCTGCATACGGTTGCTGTGTGCAGGGCAAGTGTCCTAGCCACTGTACTCTCTAGCCCCTCTAATTTAGAGATTGTTACGCCGGCATATTGAACCTGTTCTTTACTGTTCTCCACCTGTATCCTGTTTCACATGATGAGTGTACTACTTCTTAGTTGACAATCCACTGTTTATGGATTAAGTGTGGAATTTGTGAGTCAAAAGGCTCTGGGCATTTGCAGTTTTTCAGAGCCAGCAGTAAGTAGACCCACAAGCTGACTCTGGCTTAGTCCTCATCCTGGTATCTAATCTACAGCCCTTTCCAGACCAGTGCCAGTCTTAGTTGTGTTACGGACTGTTTTTCCCTAAACGTGATGAAAAACCCTCACCTGGCTCTTCCTGGCCAATGAGACACCTCTATGCCAGCCATTGCCCAGAACCCGGTTCTCAGACTAGACTGGAGTGGCGCAAAAATTTTGGAACGTGCAAGGGCCAAAAATCAATTCAGAATCAAAAGCATAATTCATGAAGTAACTGGCAGCGCTACACCTGTGTTAAGTTTGGGTAAAAAAGTGATAGCGAATGGAAAAAGTAGAAACAGCTCTGGTGTAGACTAGCCTGGTCTAGGAACAGATCAGGATGAAGTAGCTAGAGGAAGGCAGAGAGGGTTGGGATATGGGGGTGGGGAGCTTGGTCCCTAATGCCCAGCCAGGTGCGCCCCCCCCACACACACACACCTCTACTTCCGTATGTACAAATCTCAGGTAACTTAGGCCTCCACTCATCATACTGCCCCTTGATGTTTCTGACCTCAGCTAGGTTTGTTTCTGCTGTATCTGCAATATTGACAATACCCGTTAGTTAAGTATTTTTCTACCTGTCCAGAAAACTACCTAGGCCCAGAAGGGAAAAGGTTCCTCAACTTCCACCTTGGATCCAAATTTCTGTCAGTAGTGCCCTACTGACACTCAGATTGACTTTGAGGGGGCACCACTGTCAATTCTAGTGTGTAATATTGTGGCCATCTCTCAACTAAAAACCCTCCTAAGGGCAGGGAAGAGCATTCAAACAGTTGAACACATGCTTTGCGTGAAGGCACCTCGTTTCATCCCCAAGCGCCACCAAAAGCGATCTCTGAACCAGAAATGGTCCCAGAGCACTGCTGAGTGTGGCCCCAAAACAAAGACCATCTGGAGGGGCTGGAGCAAAGTACAGTTGGTTGGACGTTTGCCTTGTGTGTAACTGACCTGGATTCAATTCCTGCCGTTATATATGGTATCCCGAGCACCTCCAGGAGTAATTCCTGAGTGCCGGGCCAGATGTGAACCCCCTCCCCCCAAAAAAAAATATACTACCCTGAACTGTCTGAGATCCCAGGCAGACAGGTGGGGACAAGTGATCCTAAGAGGAGAAGTTAACAAAGGACATTAGCCTTAGATTACCTGAGGAGGGTATGCATGGGCTGCTTACTGGACATGCTCTAAGGCAGGAGTCCAGGGACAGTCCTTTTTCTAGGTCACCAGCTCTCACACCACCTCACTATCGACCTGTGTTTCAGATTTTGGCAACCTCTGCCTTTGGCTGTATGCTAGGTGTAGGGGGGCTTTCACCTAGGTACAATGCAACCAGGGGTTCAGTTTCCTTAGCTATCAGCTCCACTTAAAATTACGGCTGAGGGATGAATGCTGCCACTCTAAGGGGGAAATCAAGTGCTAACAGGGCCTGGAGTTCTGAACCCTTCAGGCCTCTACATTGCCTTGTCTGCATACTCCACCCCCAAACTGAGCATCCTCAGGCAGGCAGCACTTGTACTTTGCCTTTGTTTTCATTTTTTGTTCCATGAGAATCTTGCCCATTCTGCGGCACTTGGGGTACTGTGACACTTCACCTCATGTCAAACAGCTACGCTTGCGCTGGGTCATGTGTCTCCTAGGTCACTGGCCTTTGAGGATCCCCACGCTGTTCTGTACCTTTGATCTTTGGCACCTCTAGCACAGCAGCCCTGTTCTGCATCCTGAGCGCCCTCTACAGCCCATGCCTGGCTCTGCATTTCATGGTGTCCTGGTTAGGGAGCACTGCAGTTACTCCCCTGTGTTCCAAGGAGTCTGGGCAGAAAACAGGACTCAAACTTTTTATTTTCTTTTTATTTTCTTTTTGGGTCACACCCGGCCGATGCTCAGGACTCACTCCTGGCTCTGCACTCAGGTCTTATCCCTGCAGTGCCTAGGGGGCCGTATAGGATGCTGGGAATTGAACCCGGGTCGGCTGCGTGCAAGGCAAACGCCCTACTCGCTGTGCTATTGCTCCAGCCCCTCAAATTCTTCTTTAGCTAGCACACAACATAATGAAAAAAAAAAACAGCGTTGGCATATATCTGTGGAGGATCCTCACCCACTCTTGGCAGCAGTGTCAACTGGTTCATCCCCTAAGGAAAACTATTTTGACACATCTCCCCCAAATGAAGAATTTAGTTTCCATACCACCCAGCAGTTCCACTTCTTGGCATCTACCCCAAGGACCCAAAAACACACTTTGGAAATTTGTGCTCCTATGTTCATTGCAGCAGCATTCTCAGTAGCCAAGATCTAGAAACAACCCATGTCTAAGAACAGATGAATAGATAAACTGCAGTACATTTAGTGATAAAAGATGAAATGCAATTTGCCACTTCCTGGATGGAATTAGAAAGTATCGTGCCGAGTTACGGCAAGAAAAAGACATAAAGAATGATCCCTCTCATTCGTGGGATATAAAGAGATGGTAAGAGAATAACAAATGGCCAAAGACAACAGAACCCAGGAATTGGCCTAATGGAATTGAATTTGCCATGGAGGGATGGGTGGAAAGGGACCTGGGTCAGTGGTGAAGAAAAGCAGACATTCCTGATGGAGGGTGAGGTGTTGGAACAATGTATGCATGAAGCCCCATCATCAATAGTATTGAACACCATGGTACCTCAGAGGAAACAAATACACCCCCCCAAAAAAAACTCTAGAGAAACTGGCCGCCTTCTCTCAGTCTGCCAGATCTCTCCCCTGACACTCCCACCCTTCCACACCACACAGCAAAGCCAGCCTGCCAGAATTCGAGTTTATGCTCTGCCATTCTAGCAGCTGTGTGGTCTTGTGAAGTGACTTCACCTCTCTGAACCGGAACTGCCCCGTCTGTAAAATGGACATCACACAGCACCTTCGCTGGAGGCCTTGGAGACGACGAAAGGAGTAAGAGCTTGTGAGGCCACCTTCACGCTTGTTGAAGAGGTGCCAGGTCTTCCTGGCTAGGAGGTAGGTCCCTTGTGAGGAGCAGAGGGAAGTAACTGTGGGGATGGGGTCTGGCAGGCAGGTGATCAAGGGGAACAACAGCACCCTTTGGTCAGCACCCTCTGTTAGAAGGCCTGAAGGGAGCCCTGTCCCCTGTGGGCTGCAGGTCCTCCATGTGACTGACTCTCCAAGAGCCTGGGGGAGACTCAGCCCCTCCAGCTTCCCAGTACTTAAGTGAGGGAGTTGGTGCCTATCCCCTGGAGGGCGGACATAAAGCACCGCCTCAGAGGCCTCGACCCTGCACAGGGGACTGTCCCTGCTCTCATTCTAGTCCCCCCTGGGGAGAGAGCAGAAAAGTGCTCTAGGACTGGGTAGATGCTCAGATGACTGGGGCCTTAGACCCAGGAGCCCTGGGTTCCATCCGGGCACCCCATGCTCCTCCCATGCTGCTGGAGCACTGAGCCAGTAGTAGCCGCCCCGCCCCCAGCACCACCCGTGTGTCCCCACATCTCCACCCAGCAAAAAGCCAAAGAGCACTGGGGGGCAGGGGGGGGGGAAGAGCACAGTCCCTGCTGTGCTGACAGATGAGATAGCACTTCCTAGAACGTGTTTCTCACTCACTCCAGTCCCTGTGTTCCAGTTTGCTCTGAGGCAAAGCCCTACCTGACCAAATGTAAGATTCCGAGTTACCAGCGCCTGATCGGGAAAGGTTGGTCACGGCGAGCTCCCTGAAGGCAGGGACGTTACACTAATGCACCGCGACTGATGGGGTCCAGGAAGTGAGCAGTGTAATGGCAGGTGGGAAAGAGCAAATGTCGCAAAAGGGAGTTTAAAATAAAGTATACTGGGAGCGGAGTGAGGGAAGGAGCTACGGGGCCTGGCAGAGGGAGCCAGGGCAGGTGCCGATGCGGTGAAGCATCCCGGAGTGCTTTGGGGCCCCTCTCGGTCGGTGTTGCGGGGTGATTTGACTTGGACGTCTTCTCCCCCGCTCCGAAGACGACGAGAGAAAGAAAAGGAGAAAGATCCAGTCCCCAGTGCGACCCACGTTGGCGCCCCTCCAGGGAACGTCCAGGGCCAGAGGACCCCGGGCAGCCCCCCGCGGGGCGGCGCTCGTGCCCGGCTCGGGGCCGCAGTCTCGCCGCAGCGCCGGCCCCGCCCCCGCTCCTCCCCGTCCCCCGCGGCCGCGGCCCCAGCGGCTCCCGAGCCCCGGTCGGCGCCGAGCGCAGGTGAGCGTCCGCCCGCGGGCCCCCGCGCCCCGGCTCCGACGACCCCCGCGCGCCGGCAGCCGCGGGGCGCAGAGATCGGGGGCTGGGCTCCCGCGCGGCACTCGCAGGCTCTCCGCAGGGCCCAGCGCGACCCCCTTGGCGGCCGTCGGGGAGGAGGGGGCAGCTGGGCGGGGGTCGCGCGGCGGCACGTGCGCGGGAGGCTTGCACCTGAGCCCGTGGGGGAGGTGAGCGCGCCGCGCACCCCGAAACTTGGGAGCTTGGGCTGAGGCGCTCGGATGCCATCTGGAGGAAGCCTGCGAGCCAGCGGGGCTGGAGCTGGGCATGGGCCCCCGAGGGAGGAGGTTCTGGATAGTGGGAACTGAGGGGGTGCGGGGGGGGGCGCTGCCCAGCCGGCCGGGACGGGGGGGCTCGTGGGACAGGACCCAGCCTGCTGGTGCGCAGTTAACACCCCCCACACACTCTCTAAGAACTTTCTCCCCAGCGTTAGTCAGCTTGTGGCAGGAGGCAGCACTCCGACAGAACTTGGGGTTCCCCTGTTGTGCCCCTTGCTGGAGCCCTTGCCTGTGAGTCGACACTGGGTTTGCAGCAGGCAGGAGGGCTCCGAACTGAGCACAGTGCAGGGTCATATGGGGCTGCCTTGGAACCAGGTCAAATGGTCAGGGCTAAGGGATCACCAGGTGCAGCCCCCTTGCCTGCTCCTAGACCTCGCCCGCCTTTGATTCCTCAGTCTCTCCACTAGCTGCCAGGCATGCCCTCAGCACCAGGGGCCTGATGGACAAGTGTGAAGGGGAGGGGGGCGCAGCGAGGGGCGGGAGCCAGGGCCGCTCAGGCCCTCTCTTCCCCAGGCCCGGCAGTCCCGGGCCCGCCGCCCACTTCTGCTCACCATGGAGCTGGGTTTCCCTGGGGACCGGCCTGCCCAATCCCACCCCCTCTCCCGGCCCTGGCGCACACTGGGGTGGAGGAGTGGAGGCCTCTGCCTCCTGCACTCTCCTCCCTTGCTCTGTCCTCCAGGACCAGCCACCCTCGGCCACTGCTGGGCTGGGAGCAAGGAGCTGCGGGCCCCAGGAGGAGGTAGGTGTCCAGCGACCGGCCTCCAGGGTAGGGCAGGGCCCTGCTCACTGTCAGTTCTGTGGGAGGAAGGGGAGTGGAGGGCCCGGGGCATTCTCCTCTGCTCGGGCCTCTCTGGAGAGCAGGAGGTGCTGGGCTCCCCGACAGTCGCCCTCAGGGAAGCTGTCCTGGACAAAGCTGCCTGTGGGCTGGCACTGACAAGGTGGCTGAGGTTGGGGCCCACATGGCCCCTGCCATTGTGCCAGCATCCCAGGAGGGGTACTAAGCCGCAGGGGAGGTGCCCACCAGTGTTCTGTTCCTCTAGGATGGGGCTCCCCTATCCACAATGGTTGCCAGCTCAGAGGCGGATTCACATGTGAACCCCTTACCCAGTCTGAGTCTCTGCCGAGCCATCAAAGCTGTGGTCCCCACTCATGTTCCCCGCCTGTCTGCCCACACCCCAGGTCCCTGAAGCTGCTCCAGGCCGGGATGGCTGCTCCAGCACTGCTGAGGACTGCTGGGGGCCCAGCCACACCAGGGGCGTCCTAGGCCCCCCATCATCCAGCGCCTGTGCACCTGCTCCCACCCACCCACTCGCCATGGGCGGCTGCTTCTCTAAGCCCAAACCAGGTACAGACTCTCTCCCCTTCCTGCCTCCCTCCTCCCCTCCCTCCTTCCTCCCTCCCTCCTCCCTCTCCCTCCTCCCTCCCGCTCTGCCTCTGAAGTAGGTCAGGCTGGGGAGCAGCAGGCTCCTCCGAATATTAATGCGCAGCAGACTTAGTGCAGAGCACGTGGACCGGAGTCCTGCTCGCGGACCCCCTGCCAGTGCGCTCCCTCTTTGGGACTCTGGGGGCCCGGAGTGAAAAGAACAGCTGGATCTTTCTGGCAAAGGGGAAGGAGTGTAGGGGTCCCTCTGCAGTATGGGAGCTGTATGGGGGACTCAGGGGATAAAGAGGGCTCCAGGGACACCCTCAACTCAAGGCACATATGTCTCCTCTCTGAGCCTCAGTTTCCCCACCTACTAAAATGAGTAGGAGGACTCCAAGTCTGAGAATGGCACAGAAAACCTCCCAGCGCAGCACAGCCTCTGATCCCCGGTGACCTTGAGCCACCCCCTCCCCTTCCTCCTCCACCTCTGCCCCTGCACTCATTTCACCATTTATTCCAGAAACTGAGTTCCACACGGCCCATGTGGCTCCAGCCATGCGTGGGGCCCCCCGTGGGTACTGGAGAAGGCCCAGGTCCTTACTCCCTGGAGACTGTTGGCTGCCCTTGTCCATCTGTCCAACACTGGGGAGGGCAAGGGGGTGCTGTGACATCACGGGTGAGGAACCCCAGGGAGGCAGGCCGAGAAAGGTCTGGGCCCAGTTGGGGCTCTTCCACCCCACACCCTCCCCGGCCAGCTCTCTCCAGCTCCCCTTACCTGATACCATCGGCTCTGTTACCTCAGAACTCATGAGACTTTTCTCCTTTCCCTGGGTCTCAGGGGTGTTCTCCAGGCAGGGGCACTCCGTGCCTCCGGCTCTAACCCAGGACCCCATCCCGCCACTCTCCCTACCTGCATGGTTGGGCAAGCAAAGGGCTTGCCTTTTGGTTTAGGTTCCAGGGCCATCCCTAGCGGGGCTCAGCGGCTACTCCTGGCTTGGTGCTTGAGCATAGCTCCTTGTGGTGCTCAGACTGGGCCGCCAGCGTGCAAAGTCTGTCCTCCAACCCTGTCCCTCCAGCCCCAGTGACCGTGGTCTTGACTTTTGCCTTTCCTGATCAGAAGTGGGTGGAGGTCCCTCAACAGGGACCAGGAGGTAGCCCAGAGAGTCGTGGTGCGTGCCTTGTTGATCCCCAGCACCCCCCAGGTATAACCCTGATGCTCGCCGACAATGCTGAGGAGACCCTCTGAAATAAATGACCCATGTGGGGGGTGTGGTCCTGGACTCTCAGTACCCCAGAGACAGCTGTTGTTTTGGGGCCATCTTCTTCCAGTGCTGCTTGGAAGCCAGGGTTACACTGGCAGAGCTCCGTGGTCACCAGGGTCCCCTCCACTATTGCTGGGTAGTGGTGGGGCTACTGTCTGCTATGCTGTGGATCTAACTCCAGGCCTCACACATGCCAGGCACACACTCTGCCACTGGAACCATAGAACTGACCGCAGCTCCACAGCCCCAGCCCAGAACTTGAACATTTTTTGGGTACGGGGCGGGGAGATTTGGAGCATGCTTGGCAATGCTCAGAGGCTGTTCCTGGTGCTGTGTGCAGGAATGGCCCCTGTCAGTGCTCTGGGGACTGTATGTGGAACCAGGATGAGTTGGATGCAAGGCAAATGCCTTTCCTCCTAGTGCCTTTCCTCTTTCCAACCTAGAATTTAAACTTTTGAGTGTAAATCCATTGCTACTCTTCCCGGCTGGGTAGTGTGGGGTAGGGGACTTTACCTCTCTGAATCTTTGTGCTCTCAAATGGAACATGAAGCAAGTCATTATGGCCCCAAGAGGCTTTGTGCTCAGCACTGTCCCAGGACATAAGCAGCACCACAAAAATATAATGATCAGGGCTGGAGAGATAGCACAGCGGGTAGGGCGTTTGCCTTGCACGCGGCCGACCCAGGTTCGATTCCCAGCATCCCATATGGTCCCCTGAGCACCGCCAGGAGTAACTCCCGAGTGCAGAGCCAGGAGTAACCCCTATGCATCGCCAGCTGTGACCCAAAAAGCCAAAAAATATATATATAAAGATCTTCTTTTTTTTGAAGGGGGGGTGTGAGCTCTGCAGGGGGCTGTGGCTCAAGTGGGGTGAGAAGCAGGAGCTCAGGGCCCAGCACCCGTTCTGGGTAGGGTCAGGAAAGGTTTAAGGGATTTGAGGGGATAGGAGTGAGAGCACTTGGCTGTGAGTTTTCGGCGGAGGCCAAGGGACATTCTGAGGGTAGCAGACAGATCGCTCTGTAGATTTGCCCCGTCCCTCCCAGCTAGCCCTTCTGCCCCTCCCAGCAGCGCACACTTGCTCAGCCCCGCTGAAGCTCCCTGAGCCCCGGCAGAGCAGGTGGCCCAGCCAGGCCCGCCTGGAGCTCTCTTAGCCAGTCACTTGCCTTTGATCCGGACCTACGTGCTTCCCAGGACTTGCCCTTTTTGCCCTGGCTGCCAGGAGGCTCTGAGCTCAACGCGACAAAACCACTTCCCATCTTTGCCTCCTGAGCGGCTGCTCTGGGTTACGTAATCTCCTTCAGTATTCCCTGTCGCGGACACGGTGGGCGCTGTGTTCTCTTCTTTTTATAACAAAGGCATCTGTGCCCAGAGGGATTCAGGCCAAGGTTGAGTGGGCAGTTGGGGATCACAGAGCTGGGGTTGATCGGGTTCCCTGGAGGAGCAGTGGCCCCTCCTGTTCCCCCTGCCTTCCCCCATCCATCCACCTCTTAGCCCCAGCTCCTGGCTTCCCACTAGGCTGCACCAGCGAGCACCTCCGGGAACCTGCTGGAAGGAGGCAGAGGATGGAAACAGCCTGGCGGGGCTGTCAGCTGGGCCCAGGCCAGGCTGATCCTGTGAGCGCCTTCTCTCCGGCTCACATAACTGGCGTCAGCTGAGTCCAAAGTATTTTTCTTTTTAATTCCTCTGAAAACATTCTAGCACTGTTACATAAAATGTGAGAAATGGGCGGGGGGCGGGGAGCCACAATCCACACACACAGATGACCCCCGACACCTGACACAACAGCCCTAGCACGCTGGGGTGCTCCAGTACCCCTCCTGCCCCGCTGTGCTCCTGAGGCCTGACATCCCCCCACTCTCCCCGCTGTGCCTGGGGGCTGGAACATGAGCGTGAGGGAGCATGGGTCTGCCTCGCAGGACAGGGTCAGCCTGTGGGGGAAATAATAGAGCATGTGAGGAGGTCCGTGCAGGGGGGCGGGGAGGGGAGGCCACTCCCGAGCTGCTGCGCCGGGCGGATGGGGAGCTGCGTCCAGCCAAGGCGCGGCTCGAGAGACCCTCTGTGCAATGTCAGGTCTGAGGGAGAGCCGCAGGGCCCTGGTCCCCGGAGCCAAGAGGCCCTTCCTCACCCACACGGGCCCCACACCGTGCCAGGCACTTAGCTTCCGTCACTTCGAAGTCTTCCCTGTGGCTGCAGCCCAGGAGGCCGGATTATCCCTGCTAAAAATTCTGTTTATTGTTCCCTTCTAATGAGAAAAATACTCCAGGCATGTTGAAGGGAATTTGGGAAATGCAGCAAAGTAGAAAGGAGAAAATGACCATCTCCAGCTGCCCCCATGCCCCAGAGGAGGCCCCAGGCTTTTGGGGGGCTGTGTCTGATGGGCAGATCTAGGATTTCCCAATCCCCCCTCTGAGGGCCTTTCTGCCCAAGGCCCTGCCCCCATGCACACGAAGACTGAGACACCAACCCTTGAGGAATGAAAGTCTTTTCAACTGGTGAGAATCACTTTTTTTTTTTGGTCTTGGTTTTGGGGTCACACTTGGCGATACACAAGGGTTATTCCTGGATCATGCTCTCAGAAATTACTCCTGGCGGTGCTCAGGGGACCACATGGGATGCTGGGAATCGAACCCGGGTCAGCCGCGTGCAAGGCAAATGCCCTACCCACTGTGCTATCGCTCCAGCCACTGAGAATCACTTTTAAGAAGTTGAAATTATGGGGCTGGAGTGATAGTACAGTGGGTAGATAGGGGGTCGTCTCACACACCACCAACCCAGGTTCTATCCCCAGAACCCTATATGGTATGACCCCCTGAGGCCTCTCAGAGTAATTCCTGAGTGCAGGGCCAGGAGTAAACCCTGCGCACAGCTGGGTGTGGCCTACCTCCCACCTCCCCCCGCCAAATGGGTGATATTTTATGTTGTACATCTTTTTTTTTTCTTTTTTGGGTCACACCCGGCGATGCTCAGGGGTTACTCCTGGCTCGTACACTCAGGAATTACCCCTGGCAGTGCTTGGGGGACCATATGGGATGCTGGAAATCAAACCCGGGTTGGCTTCATGCAAGGCAAACGCCCTACCCTCTGTGCTATCCCTCCAGCCCAATGTTGTACACTTTCAACAATTATTTGTTTGTTTGGGGCCACACCTGTCTCAAGGTTATTTCTGACTCTGTGCTTAGGGTCACTCCTAGCAGAACTTAGGGGAACCGTATTCAGTGCTGGGGATTGAACAGGGCCAGCCACATGCAAGGCAAGCATTTTGATGTTTGCATTATCTCTATAACCCCAGAAAGCTGAGGGTGGGTGGGTCACACCCAGAGTGCTCAGGGATTACTCCTGGCTCTATGCTCAGACATCACTCCTTACCCTGTGCTCAGGGGACCATATGTGCTAGGGATTGAACCCGGGCCAACCACATGCAAGGCCAGTGCTTTACCCCCAGATCATCTATCTGACCCCCATGACATTTTAAAGTTTGTTTTTTTTGGGGGGGGCTACACCTGGCAGTGCTCAGGGGTTACTCCTGGCTCTGCACTCAGGAATTATTCCTGGCAGGCTTGGGAACATATGGGATGCTGGGGATCAAATCTGGGTTGACCGCATGCTAGGTAAACACCTACCCGCTGTATCATCACTCTGGCCCCCATTTTTAAAAAGTTTTTATAATGGGGGGTGGGGTTGGGCCACACCCAGTGATGCTCAGAGCTTACTCCTGGCTCTGCACTCAGGAATTACACCTGGTGGTGATCAGGGATCTTAGGGATGCCGGGGATCGAACTTGGGTTAGTTGTGTGCAAAGCAAATGTCTTAGCTGCTACACTGTTGCTCTGAAATACTACAGAAAAAAATGTTTTGAAAAATGTATCTACCCTATGGGCAAGTGGTAAAAAAATGGGTCAGAAAGATATGGAGGAAGGCACTTGTTCTGCATGCAGCTGACCTGAGTTTGATCCCCAGAACTACATGTGGTCCCTGGAGCACTGCCAGGAGTGATCCAGGAGTGATACCTGAGCACAGAACTGGGAGTAACACTCTGTGCTCTGGCACCATGTATGTTGTCCAAAACAAAAAAGAGAAAGAAAAAAAAATAAAGATGAAAGAAAAGGAAGGAAGGAAAGATGGAAGGAAGGATGAAAGGAAGAAAGGAAAGAGGAAAAAGGAAGAAAGGAGGAAAAAGGAAGGAAGAATACTGTAAATCAAGGAGACATGTCAGAGGACTGGGCCCTGACGTGGGGGAGGGCTGGGACTGATCCCTAGCGCTGCATGGTCCCCCAAGCATCGCCCATCCCCTGAGCATCACCAGATGTGGCCCAAAAAGGAAAAAAGAAAAGATGCAGAAATCAATTCAGGCTGACCCAGCATGCCTCATCTCCCTGCTGGGCCTGCTGTGCTGCTTGCCTCTTTCAAGGCTGAGCTGGCACAGCAGATGGCGTTCTCGACAGGGGAGAGCCTGCCCAGAGCGCGTGGGGTGGCTGGGGAGGTGGGCTGGATCAGGCAGGCTCCCTCACGCACACGACCTTCTGCAGTGGAGCTCAAGATCGAGGTGGTGCTGCCCGAGAAGGAGCCGTCGGCTGGCGGGAAAGGCAGCCCCCGGGCCTACCAGGGCAATGGCACTGCCCGCCACTTCCACGCTGAGGAACGCCTGCCCGCCCCGCACGCCTATGCGGGCACTCAGGACTGTGTGGAGGCCGCCGTCTGCCATGTCAAGGACCTGGAGAACGGCCAGTGGGTGCTGGGCTGAGTGGGGTGTTAAGCACCTTGGGGGCTGGGGGCTTAGAGGGTGGGGACACGGGCTTGCAGGTGGGAGTCCCAGGTGGCACCTCAGCCCCAAGCACAAAGAAGTAAAAGACTAGATGCAAGCCAGGGTTGGGGCTGACTGGCTGGGGATGCCTGGCAAACAGTCATGGGCAAGTCCTACCTTTGGTGGCTTCTGGTCTGGTGTCATGGCTGGTGCGGGGGTGGGCGGGAGCGCCTGGCCGCTGAATGCACCTGTCCCCAGGATGCGGGAAGTGGAACTGGGCTGGGGGAAGGTGCTGCTGGTGAAGGACAATGGGGAGTTCCACGCCCTGGGCCACAAGTGTCCGCACTATGGTGCCCCCCTGGTAAAAGGTAAGCAGCTGGGGGGCACAGGGGAGGAGGGGCAGGGACCTGGGTGGGGGGCTCAGCTGCTGCCCCATCACTAGAAGCTGCCCTGCCCCTCAGGGGCTCCCACTTAATTCCACCAGGCTGAGCCTTCCAAGTTCTCCTCTAATACTGGGGTCTCCCGGGCTGGGGGTGGGGTTGGCAGACCCCGGGACTTGTGGCTCCTCGCCACAGGATCTTGCCGCAGGCTTCAGACTAGCACGGCTCCCTCCTAGGTGTGCTGTCCCGGGGCCGGGTGCGCTGCCCCTGGCATGGCGCCTGCTTTAACATCAGCACTGGGGACCTGGAGGACTTCCCCGGCCTGGACAGTCTGCACAAATTCCAGGTGGGACCAGCTGTGCTGGGAGCAGGGGGTGCAGGGAGCGTGGAGCAACCCCAAGGCTCGTACTGATTAGTGAGGTCCTTACAGGTGAAGATTGAGAAGGAGAAGGTGTATGTCCGGGCCAGCAAGCAGGTGAGAGGGTGGCTTGGGACTGGGGAAAAAGGGCGAGGCTAGAGGGCACCTTGACCCAAGGAAGGGTTGTGCAAAGGCACGGTGGTAGCAGGGATCCTGGAGCATGAGCACAGGACAGGCTGGGGAGCAGAGTGGCCATGACCTGCCCTGTGGGGAGGAAGGTCGGTGGGCACGGGGTAGGGACGGTGGTGGAGGGGGGCCTGTCCTGCTGGGATAATGGCATGGAGAGGGAGGATGTGAGGAACCACCCACTCTCCGGTCACCCTCAGGCTTTGCAGCTGCAGCGAAGGACCAAAGTAATGGCCAAATGCATCTCTCCGAGTGCCGGCCATGGAGGCAGCACAAATGTGCTCATTGTGGGTGCAGGTCAGTGGTGGGGCCCACGGAGCAGGGTGGGTGGGGTGGGCCAGGTCAGTGGTGGGGCCCACGGAGCAGCGTGGGTGGGGCTTGGGTCCTGACCACAAAGCCCTCGGTGCAGGGGCGGCTGGCCTGGTGTGCGCGGAGACCCTGCGGCAGGAAGGCTTCTCCGACAGGATCGTCCTGTGCACGCTGGATCGTCACCTCCCCTACGATCGTCCCAAGCTCAGCAAGGTGGGGGTAAACAGGGGCCCTGGGATATATCCCAGATGCCCAGTCCTGCCTGTCATCCCTTGGGGGTCTGCCAGTTTCCCTCTCAGCTCATGCTGGGCTCACTAGTGGTCCCCCAGAAAGATTGAGTTTGGTGGTCTCCGGGTCGCATGGGAACTTGGGTCTTCTACAGGTGAGGTCTATGAGGCCTGGGAGCTGCATTGTGGCCCCAAGACTTTTTTATTTTTAATTTTTGAGGTTTCTTTTTCTGTTGTTTTTTGTTTGGGGGGTCACACTTGGTGATGGATGCTCAGAGGTTATTCTTGGCTCTGCACTCAGAGATCTCTCCTAGTAGTGCTTGGGGGACCATATGAGATGCTGGGATTGAACCCGGGTTGGCCACATGCAAGGCAAGCCTTTACCCACTGTACTCCCTAATTTTTCAGGTTTCTTAAGTTTTGTCCTACCATCCCTGGGACCTGGGGCTGACCACACCCTCCCTGCTGCAAGTTCTGCTATGGAATGGAACTGTGGCCTCATGGCCTGCCTCACGCTGGTTCTCTCCTGCAGTCCCTGGATGCACAGCCTGAGCAGCTGGCCCTGAGGCCTAAGGAGTTCTTCCGCGCCTACGGCATCGAGGTGCTCACGGAGGCCCAGGTACTGCCAAGGCTTAGCTGGAACTCTGGCAAGTGGAATCTGTGAGGACCCTGAAATGTGGGGTTGCTCTACCCTCCACGCCCTGCTGCAGGCACCTGGTGCCTCCTCTTCCTGGCTGATCATGGGCACATTCAGGGCCCCCGAAGGCTGGGGACATGGGCAGCTTGCTCCTGGCCTGGGGGAGTGTCTAGTGGAACTGGACATATAAGGAGGAATGTGATAGAAGTTGATAACAAAGCTTAGGGAGTGATGAGCAGGCCAAGGGGTAATGCAGGGTTAAGGCACTTGCCTTGCACACGGTCTAACCTGGTTTGGTTCTCAATACCAAATATAGTTCCCGGAGTGGAGCGATAGTACAGCAGGTAGGAATGATGCTTATCTTGCACGTGGCCCACCTGAGTTTGATCCCCAGCATATTATATGGTCCCCTGAGCCAACCAAAAGTGATTCCTGAGTGCAGAACAGGAGTAAGCCCTGAGCATCGCCAGGTGTGCACCCCCCCATACACACACACACACACCAAAAAAAAAAAAAAAAACCAATAACAAAACCAAATATGATTCCCTGAACAAGGCCAGGAGTGATCACTGAGCACAGAGCCGGGGATAGCTCCTGACCATTGCCAGCTATGACCCAAGAACCCACCAAAAAACAAAAAGAAGAGTGATGAGCATTGAGGAAAGAGCTCAAGAGGCTGGAGCACATTCAGGTTTAGTTTACAGCCCCTCATGGTCACCTGAGCACTGCCGGGAGTAAACCCAAGCACTAAATTGGGACTAAGTCTCGAATCATCACTAGGTGTGACTCAAAAATCAAAAACAAATGGAAAGAGCGATGAGAACCTGCCAGGTGCAGGCAGACGGACACCCAAGGAACAGCCCCTGTGGGGGCTGCTGCAGGGTGGGCACGGTGTAGGCCTCGGGGGAACGCAGCCCACACTCTGGCCGGGCGGCTTGCAGGTGGTCACTGTGGACGTACGGAACAAGAAGGTTGTGTTCAAGGACGGCTTCAAGCTGGAGTACAGCAAACTGCTCCTGGCGCCGGGGAGCAGGTGTGGGTCCCCGCTTTGCTTCCTTTGGGCATCGACCGGTCAGGACAGGAGGGGTGTGGGGAGCCACAACCCTCTCACGAGAGTGGCCCTCTCTCAGCCCTAGGACCCTGAGCTGCAAAGGCAAAGAGGTTGAAAACGTATTCACCATCCGTACGCCCGAGGACGCCAACCGCGTGGTGAGGCTGGCCCGGGGCCGCAATGCCGTGGTTGTGGGGGCCGGCTTCCTGGGTGAGCAGCGGGACGGGGGGGTGGGCCCAGGTCATTCTACACTGGTCCAGGGTGAGGTAGAATGCCAGCCCCTCGCCGCTGCCCTGGCCCCAGGGATGGAAGTGGCTGCCTCTCTGGCGGAGAAGGCCCACTCCGTGTCGGTGGTGGAGCTGGAGGAGACCCCCTTCAGGAGGTTCCTGGGGGAACGTGTTGGCCGTGCGCTCATGAAGGTGAGTTCTCAGAGTCCTGGGGGACTGAGCCCTCTCCGCTTCAGGCTCTTGCCTACTGCCCACCTGTCCACTGCTCTGCCAGATGTTCGAGAACAACCACGTCAAGTTCTACATGCAGACGGAGCTGTCGGAACTGCGGGCCCATGAGGGGAAGGTGGGGCCCACTCTTCACTTCCCACTGCGGCCCCAGACCAGGCCCCCTGCTCACTGACCCCTCTCCCTGCAGCTGAAGGAGGTTGTCCTAAAGAGTAGCAAAGTGGTGCGGGCTGATGTCTGCGTGGTGGGCATTGGTGAGTGGATGGGCAGTCACATGTACACACTCCAGAGCCAGCCCCTGCCTCTATCCCCCCAGCAGACCCTGCATAATAACCACTACCCACTAATAACTGATCCAGGGGTTTACTTTTGGGGCTGCAGGAAATGTTGGCAAGGGTGAGGGGTGAGCAGAGGCTGGGAGGCATGGCATGCCAATCAAGTACTTTCTAAAGGGCTTCTTGATGGAGGTGCTCACTGGTGGAAGGCACTTGGGTCCAGGCAGAGAGGAACAGGCCACAAAAAGCCCACAGGGAGGATGATCTGTGGGTAGTCTAGGTTTGAGTATGTGGGGTGTGGGAAGCAGTGAGGCGGGAGAAAGGAGGGACCAGATTAAAGATACAAGGCTGTGTCCTGGGGTGCCTGGACAGCAGGCAGAGGCTCCCATAGCACTGTCTTGTTAGGTGCGGTGCCCGCCACAAGCTTCCTGAAGCAGAGCGGCATTAGTCTGGATTCCCGAGGCTTCATCCCCGTCAACAAGGTGGGGTGCAGGGCCGGGCAGGATGCGGGGCTGTGGGTGAGCAGAGGACTGACCCGAGTCCTGGCTCTTCTTTCCGCAGATGATGCAGACCAATGTCCCAGGTGTGTTTGCAGCTGGAGATGCCGTCACTTTCCCCCTGGCCTGGAGGAACAACCGGAAAGTGAATATTCCACACTGGCAGATGGCTCATGCCCAGGGTACGGACAGCCTGAGAGAGAGGGAAGGCTGTCCCACGGACTCTGTGACTGGGCATGCGGCAGTCCTGGAGATGAAGTCAGTGCACAGAGCAGGCCTGGGGACTCACTTCAAGGGACCTCCCTCCAGGGCCTGTGGACACCCCGGCCAGTCCCAGCCCCCAACCCCACCATTCTTCCCTTCCCTCCGTTCTCAGTGACACAGGCTCTAGAGAACTCACCTGCATGTATGCTCACCCTGGGCAAGACACACAGTGACCTCTCACTCAGTGCGTCCCTCACCCAAGGGCTGTGAATACAATTGCCCTGTGAAGGCCCTGGGAGGTGGGTGCCAGGTTCCAGTGAAAGGCCCTGCAGAGTGGCTTTCCTTACCTCTGCGGTTCGCCCAGCCTCTGCCTCTCCTCACATGCAGGTACCAGCAGGTTAGCTGGCTGGGAGATAGCACCCTGGCAGTGCCCACTTCCCCATGCATCGTTGGGTCTGCACGGAAAGCCCCTCCAGTGCCCACTCCTGCTCAGGTCCAGAGTGGAACCTGCTGGTCTTTACTCCTAAGTGAGCTTGACATGGGACATTCAGACCACCTGCAAGTTGGGGAGCCGAGCTGCTCTTTCGTGCCCTGGGTGCTGCTGTCACCTTTGCTTCCCTGGCACCTGGGCCACTCTGGCTCCCTCTTTAGCCCCTGACGTGTCTGATGAATTATCTGTGTGCAGACCCGCCAGACAGCCGGGCAACCCCAGGAAGCCTGCCCTTCAGACTCAGGGTTCTGCGTTCAGAGCAACCATCCAAATGGCTAGGCTGCAGGCAGTGTCCACCTCTGCACTGGTCGGTTGCAAGCAAGGGTGGACCGCAAACTGAGCGAAGGATGCCGCTCTGAGCCGCTGGGGAGGTGGGAAGGTGGTTCCACACGTCCTGAGTGCCCAGGGAGCCCACGCAGGCAGCACAGGGAGGGTGAGGGCTGGGGTCGGGGTTCTCTTACGGTCCTGGGTCCTGCAGGGCGTGTGGCGGCTCAGAACATGCTGGCGCAGGAGGCGGAGATCAGCACGGTGCCCTACTTGTGGACGGCTATGTTCGGCAAGAGCCTGCGCTACGCGGGTAATCCCGAGGGCCAGGGCAGAACCCGAACCTGGAGCTGGGGCGGGGCTAGGAGCATCCGGGGGCGGGGCATGGATCTGGGGCGGGGCTAGGAGCACCCTGGAGGCGGGGCCTGGATTGGGGGCGGGGCGAGAAGCATGATTTGGCCGGGCTAGTAGTATCTGGGGGCGGGCTGTGACAGAGCTTGCTGCTGGGAGGACTAGGGCCAAGGGAGCAGGTTGGAGGTGGCGGGCCCTCCTTTCATCCGATCTTCAGGGTATGGAGAAGGCTTCGATGATGTCATCATCCAGGGCGATCTGGAAGAACTGAAGTTCGTGGCTTTTTACACCAAGTGAGAGCAGCAATGAGAATTGGTTGGGGACGCGGGGAGGGGTCATCCCAGAGAAGCTGCACTCCAGAGGGACCTGAAAGGCGAAACAGATTGCAAAGGGGGCTACTAGGCAGGAGTAGGAAACGGGAGGAAGTGGGGTAGTAACTCCCAGCAGCCATACATTTTATCCTCCCGACAGCAGTTGTAGGTGTATATGGGCACACACTGCTCTTACCCAGGTAGAGAGTGGTGATCCAGGACAGGAGTCCAATCCTGAGCCCCTGGAGACAAACGCTGGTGCCTCTGGGCGGGCCCACTGGAGCCCGGAGCCCATGGAGGGGCCAAGGCTCCGAGAGGGTGGCTGCTGAGGATGGTCCTTTTGTCTTTACAAGGGAGTGGGAGGACCCTGATGGACAGGCATATTGGAGAGGAAGGGGCCAGTGGTGCTGGGCCTCAGGCTTAGCTGTCCTCTTTCTCCGCAGAGGCGACGAGGTGATAGCTGTGGCCAGCATGAACTATGACCCCATTGTGTCCAAAGTGGCGGAGGTGCTGGCCTCGGGCCGGACCATTCGGAAGCGGGAGGTGGAGTGAGTGCGGGCATCAGAAGGGCGTCAGAAGGAAGGGGCAAGGGCAGAGAAGTCCCCTGAGGAACTGGCTAAGAGTGCACACACAGCCAGCTGCCTCCCCTTCTCCTTGGTCTCCATCAACCCATCTGAGGCTCTGAGGGCAGTGGGACCATGTGGGGTAAGGGCTGTAGTTTGGGAGATGCATGGTCGTAAGTGCTCTTGGGGAGGTAAGAGAGAAAGGGGCCGTGTGCCGGGGCACGGCCTATGTGGAGAGAGGGATCGAGGCCTGGGCACCTGACTGAGCCAAGGCTGACACAGAACTAGCCAGAAAATGCATCTAGGGATGTCAGTGGTGCTGCCCTGCAGGGGGTGAGGTGATCATTTGGGGACGGGGAACATGAAACAGCTGTCAGTATCCTCATCTTGGTGATGGTCGGTGGGATTCACCCCTTGAGTTTGCTTTCCTGACTAGGAGCTCCCAACCTAGAGGCCATGGGACAGGGCCCCCCCCTCAGTCTGGAAACAACAGAAACCGAAGCAGGGATGGATGAGTGATGCGCTCTCTCTCCCTGGCCTTCTCTCTCTCTCTCTCTCTCTCTCTCTCTCTTTCTCTCCCCCTCTTGCCTTCGCAAAGGCTGTTTGTGCTACACAGCAAGTACGTGGCCTGTCCTTCCTGCTAACCTTTCTCAGCCTTCTGCACCTCATCCCACATCCTGTTCCCAGTGGTTTCCCCTCCTCTGCCCCCAAGTACCCACCTGCTGGGCACCAAGTCCTGGTGCAGTGCTGGTTCCCTGACATTTCAAGGGCCAGTTGCGCATGGTGCTGAGTGGGAACGTGGCCCTACCCCCATTCTGCAGTGACTCCTCCTCCCCTCATTCCTGCAGGACCGGCGACATGTCCTGGCTCACAGGGAAAGGATCCTAGTCTCCAGTGCAGCTGACCTGGGCAAGCACCAGGGACAGAGGTTACGGTCAGGGGGACAGGTGCCAACCTCCAATTTCCCAGAACCCCCAGGGCAGAGTTTGCACCTTCCTTGTGCTTGCCTTCTGCTGCCCCTCCAGACAGGCCTGGGGGGGGGGGGCCTCTGCTGCCCCCAGGAATGCTCACCCACCCTCAGGCCTGGCAGGCATGGCTGGCTGGCAGTGGAGGGAGATCAGGCCCCGCCCCCTCCCCCTCTTTTGGAACTGGTCTCCTACAGCCTCTGTGACATATTAGATATCATCTTAAAATTAAAACACACATTTGCAAATCTGTGTATTACTTCCACTGTAATTGGGCAAACACTCATAATGGGGGAAATAAAACATGACTCAGAGACCCGTGCATTCACAGAATGATCAGTGTCACACGAAGAAATTCTACCTGTAAGTATCCAGAAGAGGTAGCCTGGGGGCTGGAGCGATAGCACAGCAGGTAGGCCATTTGCCTTGCACGCAGCTGACCCGGGTTCGATTCCCATTATTCCATATGGTCCACTGAGCACCTCGAGGAGTAATTCCTGAGTGCAGAACCAGGAGTAACCCCTGTGCATAGCCGGGTGTAACCCAAAAAGCAAAACAGAAACAAACAAACAAACAAAAAACCCAGAGAAGGTAGCCCTCCCCTACCCAGTCAGGAGAGACTTCTGCAATCAGTGCTTTGGATCTGGATTCGCGAGGAGGGACACCCTGCAGTGCTCAAGGCTTACTCCTGGCTCTGCACTCAGGGATCACTTCAGCCGGGACTCAGGGAACCATGTGAGGTGTGGGAATAGAACTCAGTCAAGCTGAGCACTCTGACTGGAGCGATGGTAGTACCCACGGTACTACCCTCCCAGACTGCTGGATATGGATTATGGGGATGATTTTATATTTTTATTCTTTGGGCCACACCAGCTTATTCAGGGCTTACTACTGGCTCTGCACTCAGGGATCATTCCCAGTGGGCTTGGGGAACCATATGTGGTGCCAGGGATCAAACCCTGGTCAGTGACATGCAAAGCCAGCACCCTACCAGCTGCTCTATGGCTCCAGCCCCCTGGATTTGGAGTTTGGAAGGGAAGGTAATTCAAGGAGAAGGAGTAATGCATGCTGTCAAGGGCTTGAGACAGGACCTTATTATTATTATTATTATTATTATTATTGCTTTTTGGGTCACACCCAGCGATGCACAGGGGTTACCCTGGCTCATGCACTCAGGAATCACTCCTGGCGGTGCTTGGGGAACTATATTTGATGCTGGAAATCAAACCCTGATCGACCACCTGCAGGGCAAACGCCCTCCCTACCCGCTGTGCCATCGCTCCAGTCAGAGACAGGAAATTGTCATTATTTTTAATTCTTTTTGCCACATCCTATGGTGTTCCACCGACATTATAGCATTGAGAATTGATCTGAGGTCTGAGCATGAAGGCAAGTTGTCTTAACCCCTGTACCAATTTCTCGGGTCCAGGAAAAGCAAATTGGGGGCATTTGTCCACTTAGGGAGATTTATGAGCAGTGTCATGAGACAGACGCATGCTTCCCGTGGCAGTCAAAACTTCCTGAGTTCTCAATTTGGCAGGAGAAGCTCAGACTCTGTTATTAAGTAGGTTTGATCACACAGACTTCCATCACCATGCTGCCTTCTGGTCGGGAGACTGACACAACTTCCATGGCACAATTTAAATGCAAGAGCCCCAGTTTGATCCCGGGCACCTCATGGTTCCCTGAAAACCGCAGGGAGTGGTACCGCCCCCAAGGTGGGGAAAAATGAGTATGAGGGGAGTAAGCAGGATTTGGGTCGTTAGCGGAAACAGGCGAGCCCGGAACCCTCGGTCTGGGGTCCTGGCAGCGGCGGACTCAAGCGAGCACGCGCACAGGGGCATGCCGGGAACCAGAGCCAGTTTCCGGGAGTCCCGGGCCTGGCAGGAGCGGGGACAGTGCAGTTCTCCTCGGACGCGTTCCTCGGGCGGGGAGCTGGGCGCCCGGGGTTTGCGGGAAATGTGTCCCAGAAAGTTGCACACCACCCCGACACAGAGACGACGCTGCGGCGGTCGCCGGCGCAGTCCCAAGGCGCCTTTAGGCCAGCCGGGAAGGGCGGGCAGAGCGCGCGGCGCTGGCCGGAAGTGCCGAGCCGTGGGCGCGGGGCCCGCCGGGAAATGTAGTTCCTTCGGGTGGCCTGGGGCGGTGGCCTCCAGTCCCGCAGACCTGGTGGACGATCGGGCGTGGTAAACACGGGATGGCTGGGCCCGTGGGCTCCGGAGGCCCGATCGGGGCCGGGGCGCTGGCAGGAGGAGCACGGTCCAAGGTAGCCCCTAGCGTGGACTTTGACCACAGCTGCTCGGACAGTGTCGAGTACCTGACGCTCAACTTCGGGCCCTTCGAGACAGTGCATCGCTGGCGGCGCCTCCCACCCTGCGACGAGTTCGTGGGGGCCCGGTACGTAGGGACCAAGGACCTTGGGAACGGGAATGGGTTTTTGAGGGGGCTCCCCAGGGTGGGGCTCAGGAGTGAGGCCGGGACGTGGTATCCGGGCTCTAATAATGGGTGTAGGGGGGTGGGTTGCTGCTGTCCCCGGGAGGGGGCAGGACGGGCTGAGGAAAGCCGGGAATGGGATGGTTCTGGTAAGGGTAGTAAAGCTGGCTTTGTGGGTTTGACGGCGATATGGAGTTTAGATGGTACCAGGGGGAGTGCCAGAGATCCCTACTTGTGGAGCCCTTTAGGGGACTGGTCTCCATGTATCTTTGTATTGACCCAGGTCCTTGTCTTCCTCCTTTGCTGAGACTCATTCCTGGGGTGCTCCCTGGAGGAACCGGACCTCAGTGCTGTCCACTCTTTCTTCCTTTCCAGACGCAGCAAGCACACGGTGGTGGCCTATAAAGATGCCATTTATGTATTTGGTGGAGACAATGGGTGAGTCTGTTCATTAGGGTGTTTGCACCAGGCAGGGAGAAGCTCGAGGCTCCGCAGCTCCTCTGCCTTCTTTCTAGACATTTGTTCAGCACTCAGCCTGCTTCCTGACCCGGGAGGTTTTCAGCAAAGCATTGGATGAGTAGCACATGTTCTGTTCATGGAAATGTCCCACTGGTCCTGAGTGAGTGTACACAGCCTTGGAAACAGCACGGCCAGGGGTTGGGGAGGGAGCTGGGAGGTCAGTGGTGCCTGCCGTGCATTCTCAGTGCTTTGTACTGGCCCGCACCAGAGGCCACTTAGGGTGTGTCCTTACTCTGAAACAAAAACAAAACTCAGAAGGTGTGTGATGCTTTGTTGGTGGGCCTGTCTCCATTCCCCTGAACTGACCTCCGTTTGTTGTTTTTCTGGGTGAAAGGTAATGGCCAAAGCACCATGTGTGGTCAGTTCTGGCATGATTTTCTGTGACGCAGTGCCCAGGAGCTGGTCCAGGGAGGGAAAGGGCTGGGTGTCTGTGTGGAAGGCATGTCTGTGCAGGGTCAGAAGGAGGTCTGCTGCTGCAGACAGGGAGACTCTTCCGGAGAGGGAGCCTGAATGAACCCAAAGCAGCAGTGAGTGCTGTGCAGGGTGGTCTGCAGGGGTACTGGCTGGAAGGTGGTAGTGGCAGTGCAGAGGATGCTGGACAGGACTTTCCTGTCTTGATTATTTAGTAATGTGCTCTGGAAGGACCAGGGGTCCACCCCAGGGCCCCCGGAAGTAGGAACCCTGGTGGGTGGCTGCCTGTGGCTTGGTCTGGACAGACGGGGTTCTAGCTTGGCAGGTGCTTTTGGGCTTTCCCTCTGTCTAGAGAGGGTGACCGTATGCCTGGCCCAGCCTTGTGCCCAGGCCGTGGCCTGCTGCCTGGTTAGGGCTGGCCTCTTTGGGTGCTTGCACCTGCAGAGCTCTCTATGGGGAGAGGCCCCGGCAGCACCTGCAGACTGGGTAGCTGTCCTTGGGCATGGCCTGCCTGGCGTCCAGCCAGCCTCCCTAGCGGTCTCTTTCCATGGAGCAGTAGAGGGACCCGTTTGAAAATGCAAGCTGGAGCCTGTTCCTCCTGGATCACGGCCCTGGGCAGGCGCCTTCCATGTCTGGGGAAGCCAGATCCTCCCCACAGCCCTTGCACACACGTGTGTGCAAGAGCTGCATGCTTATGTTCCCCTGTTCCACTTCCTCGGCCAAATCTCCACTGCTGGCTGAGTTTTCCTTGGGCTGGCACAGCTCTGGCCTCCCTCCTTCCCTTTCCTGACCCTGCATCCACACACGTGTGTCTCTCTCCCCTCCCTCTTCCTCTTCCTCTTTTTTTTTCCTTCCTTTTCCTCAGCTCATCCCACCTGCTCTGCTGTCCCCCAGAGCACACAAAGGTTCATCAGGGTCTGAGGAGGCAATATAAGTCTGTTGCAGGGAGGAATGAAATAAAGAAGCAGAATCTGCCCACAGATGGTTACCAGAACCTAAAGGTCTTGCCTGTAGCCCTTGAAAAGACCTGGCGGCCAGTGCAGTGTGTGGACAGCATGGCAGTTACATGGTAGCAACCAAAAGAAACGTGTTTGCTACAGTGTGACCCTAAGAAATAGAATACAAGGGCCGGAGAGATAGTACAGTAGATAGGATGTTTGCCTTGCATGCGATTGGTCGACCTGGGTTTGATCCCCAGCATCCCTTATGGTCTGGGCTCTGTGAGGAGTAATCCCTGAGCCTAGAGCCAGGACTAATCCTGGATTGTGGCCCCCAAACAAAAAGCAACAAAAATGAATAGGATACAAATGTGTGCTGCTGTTGCAACTTTGTGAAGACTGGCTGGTTGTACCCACCCTTGGTTGAAGGATTGGGCACACCCTGGCTTCTGCTGCTGGCTGTTGCCAGGGCCTTGGGCAGGCCCTCGCTCTCCTGACTGTGCTTCTCTCCCTGGAGGAGAAGACGGGGCCACACAGGGCGCCTTGTGCCACTCTGCTGACCAGGAGCTGGAGGTCTGTCTTCCCTCTTGCCCATGATGGCTGTGTGGATTTTGTTGTTGCTCGTTTTGGAGCCACATCCAGTGGTGCTCAAGGGACCTGGAAGCCCCCTGCCCCACATGCTGAGCATGCACTCTGGCCCTTTAGTTACCTACCCAGACCCCTGGTTCATCATACCTTTCTATTTGGTGGGTAGATGCTCAGGGGTTCCTCCTGGCTCTGCACTCAGGAATTATTCCTGGTGCTGCTCAGGGAACCAGATGGAATTCTGGGTATGGAACCATATGGAATTCAAGGCAAGCTCTCTACCGCTATACTATCATTCCAGCCCCTCATCCTATGTTTAATGCAGCACTTGAAATGGCTTTGTTATAGAGTGAAGGTATATCAGGTGGCCCAAGGGGCAGATCAGCACCGCCTTGTGGCAGAATCTCAGAGCAGGACACTCTCTCTCTCTCTCTCTCTCTCTCTCTCTCTCTCTCTCTCTCTCTCTCTCTTTCTCTCTCTCTCATTGGGAAGCTGGGAGGTTGGTGTGGGGCGGGGGGGGGGGGGGTGGGAGCATGAGCCAAGTCAGTCTCTGGGGCCTGGCTCAGACCCACAGGCTTGTCTGGGTCACTCTAGTGCGGGACTCTCCTTCATGTTCACCTGTTTGTCCCTCAGGCATCAGCAAGTTGCCTGGGACTGTTAGGGACCGGATTCCCCCAGATAGTTTCCCTGTCTCCTGGGGCTGTGCCGTTCCTTTTTGGGAGTGCAGAGGGGACTTACCCTGCAGAGCTGTGCGAGGGCAACGTCCTGTCCGCTGTCTTTCAGGAAGACGATGCTCAATGACCTCCTGCGCTTCGACGTGAAGGACTGTTCCTGGTGCAGGTGGGTGTCCCGTTCTCTCTGTCATAGTGGGCGGCTACACACTGGCTCTGGCAATCTGCAGAACCTGTGTTCCCTGTGTGTGTCCCCTGTGTCTGGTGCAAGTTTGTGTGTGTGCTGGGGTCTGCATGTGCCCTGCCAGGAGTGGCTTAGCGCTGAGGACAAAAGGCTCCGGAATCAGGAGACCGTCTGCTCCTGCAGAGCTCAGAGCTCAGCAGTTCCCGTGACTCTGTCCCCTCTGGTCACAGCCGTCCTCAGGGTGGGTTTTCACCCTCCATTTTTCTGCTAGGGCTACTTGCGGCTCAGGGCCCTTTTACTCAAATATTGTTTAAATCTGTTATTGTGATTCCTCCCCTCATGTGCTCACCCTCAGGTGGCAGTGCTGGCACATTGACGTGGCACTTCATGGGATGCTTGCACATGTGCTCGCTGGAGGTTGCGTTGCTATCCAGGCACATGGAGCTGGTGGTGGAGCTCTCCAGATGCGACACTCCCTGGCCCCGGCACTCACATGCCCTTTTAGTTGCAGCACTCACTGGGGTTGTGCCTCATTTTTGTTTTGTTTTGTTTTGGGGCCATACCTGGCAATGGTCAGGGGGTTCCTCCTGACTCTGCACTCAAGAATTACTCCTGGAAGGCTCAGGGACCGAATGAAGTACCAGGAATCGAACCCAGGTTGGCCATCTGCAAGGCAAATGCCCTACCCACTGTACTATCACTCCAACCCCAGTTGCACCCCATTTTGTGGTGCCCACAGCAATGGTGCACCAGTAACTGTTGTGATTTTTTTTGCTTTTGGGGGTCACACCTGGTGATGCACAGGGGCTACTCCTGGCTCATGCACTCAGGAATTACTCCTGGCAGTGCTTGGGGGACCATATGGGATGCTGGGAATTGAACCCGGGTCAGCTGTGTGCAAGGCAAATGCCCTACCTCCTGTGCTATGCTTCAGCCCCACTGCTATGATTCTGGGGATTACAGACAGCAGAATTTGGTGCATATGGGTGATGGTGGATTTGAACCCATGACCATTGGCTTGTAAGAGATTCAGCCACTGCACAGTTCGTCTGGCTCTCACTGCCCCTTTCATGGAGAAGGATATCGGGTCCCAGGACCCACAACTGCCAGACCAGGCACTTGTGGTGGTACCACTGCACATACCCCCAGGAGGCTAGGAGTCTGCCATTTCTGTGACACTTGCTGGTAGAATACAGTCATCAGTGATAAAATGATTTAAAAATAACTCTGACAATCTGACAGTACTTTGCTAGAAGTCAGTTAAATATAAAGTTTGGAGCCAGGGGTGAGATCATGATCTGTCCCGTTCACCCAGTGCCCCAACCAGCACAGACCTCCACTGCCTCCCCAACCCCCCTACCAAAAGTGTCTCTGGGCCACAGAGTTGTGCTGGGTGGGTGTCCCTCCCCAGTAAGAACAGCCTGAGGAAAGCAGCATAGTTTTCATTCAGTAAGTTAACTCTCAGGAGCCATGTGGCGCTGTACCCTGTGCAGTATCTGGGTATGAATGGTACTAGAGTAACACTTTACTGTCCAATTGAAACAGCAGATTATAAGATACCATGTGATTGAATTTTTTTTGTGGCGAGGGGCCCATGACTGGCAATTCTCAGGGGTTACTCCTAGCACTGCACTCAGGAATTACTCCTAGCCGTGCTTGGGGAACCATATTGGTATGCTGGGATCAAACCTGGGTTGACTGCATTCAAGGCAAACAACCTACATGCTCTATTTATCTGATCCTTCACATAATTGAAATCTTTTTTGGTTTTGTGTTTTTTGGGCTACACCTGGCTGTGTTCATGGGTTACTCCTGGCTCTGCACTCAGGAATTACCCCTGGCAGTGCTTGGGGAACCATATGGGGTGCCAGAGATCAGAACCGGATTGGCCGCATACAAAGGAAGCAACCTACCTGCTGTACTATTGCTCTGGTCCCATGATTGAATTTTTTTCTACTGTTTTTTTTTTAGTTTTTTATAATTTTATTTATTGAATCACCGTAAGAGCAGTTACAAAGCTTTCGGACCTAAGTCTTGGTCGTACAATGAAACACCCATACCTTCAGCAGTGCCCATTCTCCACCCCCAACAATCCCAGTATACCCCCGTCCCACACCCTCCCTCTATCTGTGGGGCAGATGATTTCCACATTACTCTGTCTCTGCTTTGATCACATTCAATATTTCAACACCAGACCCACCATTATTATTTGAGATTTTACCCCAACATTCAGATCTGCTGAAAAGGCAACAGTAGGCAATTTGTGTTCTGTTGCTGGTTATGAATAACATATGATGCTGCGTGGCTGCAGTAGGGCCATGTGATTTTGAAATTCTGAATTTTAACACTTAAATCTGGAGGAATTTCTGCCAAAACCATTGGGTTTCGAGATTTGCTCCTGAGTCTCTGGGAACATGGCTGTTGAGCAGCTTGATCAGGAGTCAGAGAGGCCGTTCGTGGGCGATGACTTGGGGTCTCGTTGGGGTGGGGAGGACAGGCCTGGCTCCACCCCCATTCCGTGAGGCCCAAAATATCTTGTCATTGCAGGCCCAGACGTGACTGTCCAATGGCCTCTGGAGATGACGGCCACTGAGCCATCAAGGGGGAGCAGGCGGAGGGACAACACCCTTTCCCCCCTGGGGTGGCCCGGCGACAGTAACCTATTGCGGGGTCTGGACGCATTTCTGCCAAAAGCCACTGGGTTTCGAGATTTGTTTCTGAGTCTGTGGGATCAAGGCCATTAAGCAGCTTGATCAGGAGCCAGAGAGGCCATTCATGGGTGATGACTTGGGGTCTCGTTGGGGTGGAGAGGACAGGCCCGGCTCCCCCCCCCTCCGCCCCCATCCCATGAGGCCCAACAAGTTTCGTCACTGTGGGCCCAAGCCTGACTGTCTATTGGCCTCTGGAGGATGACGGCCACCGAACCGCCAAGGTGGAGCAGGCGGAGGGACAGCACCCTTTCCTCCCTGGGGTGGCCCGACGACAGTAACGTACTGTGGGGTCCAGATGCATTTCTGCCAAAAGCCACTGGGTTTCGAGATTTGTTTCTGAGTCTCTGAGATCATGGCCATTAAGCAGCTTGATCAGGAGGAGCCAGAGAGGCCGTTTTTGGGTGATAACTTGGGGTCTCATTGGGGTGGGGAGGACAGGACCGGCTCCATCCCCATCCCTTGAGGCCCTGCGTGTCTTGCCACTGCGGGCCCATACCTCACTGTCCAGTGGCCTCTGAAGGATGGCGGCCACTGGGCCATCAAGGGGAACAGGCCAAGGCACAAAACTTATTCCCACCTGGGTTGGCCCAGCACCGGTAACCTACTGCAGGGACCGGACGCATTTCTGCCAAAAGCCGCTGGGTTTCGAGATTTGTTTCTGAGTCTCTGGGATCATGGCCATTAAGCAGTTCAATCAAGAACGAGAAGAGGCCATGCCTCCTATTATATAGCTGAGCTGGAGGTGTTTTGTCGGTGTGTTTCCCACACATCTAACTTTTGGCAGTTTACTTTCTTGGTAAACTTTGCCCCAAGTTTCTGGGGTCTGGCTAAAGGCACAGCAGCAATTTTGGGGTATCTGGAAGTCTGAAGGCGCCATCAGGCTGCTGATGCACTCGCCTCACAGGTACAGATTGACCTGCTGGCGGCACCATACCCCCTTACTTTTTTTTTTTAATTGAATCTCCGTGAGATACAGTTACAAAGCTTTCATGATTGAATTCCAATCATACAATGATCAAACACCTATCCCTCCACCAGTGTACATTTCCCATCACTCGTGTCCCCAGTATCCCTCCTGCCCCCACCCCAATCCCTGCTTTAATGCCAGGCACTTTCCTTCTCTCTCTCTCTCTCTCTCTCTCTCTCCCCCCCCTCCCCTTTTGGTCATTATGATTTGCAATTCAGATACTGAGAGACCATCATGTAACAGACCATCATGTTTGGTCCTTTGTCTACTTTCAGCACACATCTCCCTCCCAAGCCATGATTGAATTTTTAATTTAAAAACATGAGTGGGTCAGAGGGCTGGAGCGATAGCACAGCAGGTAGGGTGTTTGCCTTGCATGCGGCCAACCCGGCCGACCTGAGTTCAAGTCCTCCGCCCTTCTTGGAGAGCCCGTCAAGCTACCGAGAGTATCTCGCCCGCATGACAAAGCCTGGCCAGCTACCTGTGACGTATTCAATATGCCAAACACAATAACAAGTCTCACAATGGAGATGTTACTGGGGGTGCTCAAGCAAATCTATGAACAACAGGAGGACAGTGCTACAGTGCTAGAGTGGGTCGTTGAGATGGACTAGGAGTTGGCAGTTGTTTTGCATATTGTTGATCCTCTTTCGAATCTGCAGCACCACATATGTGATCCCACAAAGCACCACCAGAGGCCACTCTTGAGCACAGAGCTATGAATAACCCCTGAACATGTGTGTGACCCGACCCCCTCCCAAAAAAAATTACTCTGACATAACTGTGTGTAGGAAAGGCACAGAATGCAGATAAGATTTCTGGTAAAGAGGTTATACATAAGTTTTGGTGCTTTTAAGGCCTGCAGAGATTTCATTGTTACTGCTCCTTCTGGGCAGCTTATTTCTGCAAGTACAAGTGTGTTTGCTGTGCTGGGGGTGGAACTTGGGGCCTCACCTATGTCAGGTATGTGCTCAGCTGCCGAGCTGCACTCTATTTTTTTTTCTTTTTTTGGTTACACCTGCCAACGTACAGGGGTTACTCCTGGCTCTGCACTGAGGAATTACTCCTGGCAGTGCTCCGGGGACCATATGGGATGCTGGGAATTGAACCAGGGTCGATGTATGCAAGGCAAACGCCCTACCTGCTGGACTATTGCTCCAGCCCCCAAGCTGCACTCTTATTGGCAGTTTTTAAAAGTTTTTCTAATATGACAGGTATTAGCCCAAAAATAAAAACATGAAAGGAAGCAAGGGGGAGGCAAGAACTTTTCTGTGTGTATGTAGACCTTATGTATGACCACCCACACTGAACCCCACTGTCTCTTATGTCCAACCCCAGGGCCTTCACCACTGGGACCCCGCCAGCTCCCCGCTACCATCACTCGGCCGTGGTCTACGGAAGCAGCATGTTTGTCTTTGGTGAGTGACTGTCCCCAGGTCCTTGCTCCCTAGTATGGCTGTAGCTTCTTGCTCGTCGTGCCTTCTGCCTCTGGGCTTTGTCTGTCCCCGTCCCTGAGGGGCCAAGGATGCTTGCCGGGTTGGAGACCCTCGTGGGGCTGCTAGGCTAGCCAAGTTCTTCCTCCCGTGCGTGTCTCTCGGGGCTGGAGCTGCCTGCCTCTGTGCTGGGACTCTGTCCACCAGGTATTAGAACTATTTCTGTTCATTTCCGTGTCCTCGGAACCCAGCACAGAAGCAGGTGCTCAGGGGGTGCTCTCCAGGGACTCTGAGGAGTCCCAGAGGCTTTGACTCATTTCATTCATTCATTTACTTGGGGGCTGCTAAGCTGTGCTCTGGGGGTCACCCCCGGTGATACAAAGCCAACCAGGCCAGACAGTTTAATGCTTAGGCCTGACACTGTGGTGCTGCTCAAGCTCTGAGATGCTTCTGGGCGGCACCAAGGCCCTCCAGGGCTGTACCTGGACATAACAGTGTTGGAGACCAAGCTCGGAGCCTCACACTTGCAAGCCATGAGGGTGACCCTGGAGCCATCTCCGGGCCGCCCAGAGTGCATTTTCCTTATGTTTTGGTTAGTTTGTTTTGGGTCAGCTGTTCCCAGGGGCTGCTTCTAGCTCTGTGCTGGGGAGGCCCAGGGTGCGTTTTCTTGAATCAGATCCCATCCTCCTGTCGGGGTGGAAGACTTGGAAACGCAGCCTTCGGCTGTGACAGCTCCCGCCCTCTCCACCCAGGGGGCTACACGGGCGACATCTACTCCAACTCCAACTTGAAGAATAAGAACGACCTCTTCGAGTATAAGTTTGCAACGGGCCAGTGGACAGAGTGGAAGATCGAGGGCCGGTGAGGGGCTCGGCTGGAACCTGGGGGTCACCGGATGCTGAGTGGCCAGGACTGGGCCTGAGCCCAGGAGCACAGGATGAAGGGGGTGTGGGGGCTGCAACAGGAGCGGGCATTGGTGCGCACTCCCACCTGCCCCTGGCCTCTTGGTGCCAGGGCACCCTCTGCCAGGATGTCGAGGGACTCGAGTGCTTGCTGGGAGTCCTGCTTTGTGGCACCACCTCTGGGGACAGGCTCTGTGCCTGCTCTGTGGGTGCCTGCATCCCACCCACGTCAGCCTCACTGATGACCCAGCCCCAGTGAGGGGCTCCAAAGTCTGTGGTGGGGGTCTGACAGCCTGCGGTGACTGCTCCCCAGGCTTGGGGTGGTGAGGCTCGGGGACCCCCGCAGCCTTTCCCCTCATCCTGTCTGCATGCTGCAGGTTGCCCGTTGCCCGGTCAGCCCACGGCGCCACAGTGTACAGCGACAAGCTATGGATCTTTGCGGGTTATGACGGCAATGCCAGGTGGGTAGAGGCCCGACCTCTGCACAGCCACGCTCTGGGCGGGCCCTCGGGAGTGGGGGAGAGGAAGACTGACAGTCCGGGGGTGAGGCCTTTGATGGAGTCCCACAGGGCTTGGAAGGGGCAGGCTGCCCTGACCTGTGAGGTGGCCTGAGGGGTCCAGGTCCCTAGAGCTGAGGCAGTATTGCCTGTGTCCTTAGGGTGGGAAGTGGTACCTGTAGGTGGAGATGGGGATGGGGAGCAGTGGAAGGGAAGGGGAGGTCCCTGCAGGGTTCACCAGTGTTTTCCTCCTGAATATGGAAAATGTGCTTGGCCATGTTTTTTCTTCCTTTCTCCTTGTATTTTTTTCTGTCTATAAATGTAGCCCATATGCACTGCCCACACCCAGCTCTGTAGAGGTTAGTGTGTTTTAGAGGTGATCTTCTGTGATGGGACCTTGCCAGGATCCTCCCCTGGTCATGGAGGGGTGACCAAGCAAGTGGCCAGCCATGCCTTGAGTGCTCCTGCCCTGGACATGGTGTGTGAGGCCACTTGCTCCTGTCTCAGTAGAAGCATGTGATACGGCCTCCCCCTGCTCCAGCTCAGTGCCTACCTCGAAACCACCTGCGGGCCCCAGGCCAGAGTTCCCGGGATAGGATGCTTTTATCTCCCAGGAGCCATTGCTCCTGGCCAGGCCTCAGGTCTGACCCCTCTGTGCTCACGCAGGTTGAATGATATGTGGACCATTGGCCTCCAGGACCGAGAGCTCACGTGCTGGGAAGAGGTGAGGTGTGGAGGGGCACCCTGACCTCAGCCTGGCTCTCCCTGGCCACTGCTGCTGTCCTGAGAACCCATCCTCTCATCACCGGTCACTGGTGATGAGAGGCTGTTGGCCCTAGGGTGGCAGGAGGGGTCCTGTACCCCTCCCCCCGCCCAGTGCTGTCAGCTTGTTCCCCCACTTCCCCCTGTTGTAGTGACTCTAACCCCAGCTCTTTAACCAGCCCGTTTGGGTGGCAAGGTGAGGCCTAAAGGTGTTCTGTAGGGCCAGAGAGTTGCCATATAGACCGGGCACAAGCTTGGCATGCAGGACTCTTAGATTCTATCCTGGGCCCCTGAGCACCACCAGCTGTGGTCCTAAAACAAATCAACACAAGTTGTTTTGCAAAAATTTTTCAGTGAGGCCATGAAGGTGTACATGCCTGGCACGAGCAAGGCCCCGAGTCCAGTCCCTGGTACCACGTAACCCCCTGGACATTGCTGGGGTGGCCCTGCAGCACAAGGCCCAGTAGCCCCTGGGACCCCCAGTCACTGCTGGGGAGGCCTCTCCCCACCCACACAAAAAAGGAAAGTAGAAAGAGCAGAACCCACATTCGCTGAAGTGTCGTGGCATTGAGCGCGGGGCACACCGGGCTGCCTTCCTCCCCGGCAGGTGGCCCAGAGCGGGGAGATCCCCCCATCCTGCTGCAACTTCCCCGTGGCCGTGTGTCGGGACAAGATGTTTGTGTTCTCAGGGCAGAGTGGGGCCAAGATAACAAACAACCTCTTCCAGTTTGAATTTAAGGATAAAACGTGAGTGCCCTTGTGGGGGACCTGCCGTCAGGGCCCCACCGCTGCTCTCCCCAAAACTCCTCCCAGCCAGGGCACTGTGCGCATGGGTGTGTATGTGCCTGAGTGTCTGTGTGTCTGTGTGTCTGTGTGTGCATGTGTATGACTGTGTTAATATGAGTGTACTTGTGAGTGTATGTGTGTGTGCATGAGTATGTATGTATAAGTGTGCATGAGTGTATGTGTGTGAATTGTGTTTGAGTGGGTGAATGTAGTGTGCATGTGTGCGATGTTTGTGATGTATGTGATTGTCATCGTGCATGTGTGTGTGTGTGTGAGTCCGTATGTGTATGTGCATGATTGTGTGTGAGTATATATGAGAGAGTGTGTGTGTGTGTGTGTGTGTGTGTGTGTGTGTGGTGCCTCCTGGGGAGGGAGCAGAGACCCTGTCAGTGGTTCCTGGTCATGTGTTCACAGGTGGACTCGCATCCCCACTGAGCACCTGCTCCGGGGGTCCCCGCCGCCCCCACAGCGGCGCTACGGGCACACCATGGTGGCTTTCGACCGCCACCTCTATGTGTTCGGCGGTGCGGCTGACAACACGCTGCCCAATGAGCTGCACTGCTATGACGTGGACTTCCAGACCTGGGAGGTGGTGCAGCCCAGCTCCGACAGCGAGGTGCGTACCCCAGGCCACCCGGCGAGTGGGGCCTCCTCACCCTCCCCCAGCTCTGACCAGGGCCAGGTCCCTCTGGCCTGTTCTGTCATGTGGGCTGTCACCCTCTGCGTCCCCTTGTGTCCAGGGTGAGGTGCATGTCCCCTGGGCCTTGATCCTGTTCCCTTAGCTGTGCTGGGTGGTTGCTGGGTGGTGCTTGTCTGTGGCTTTCCTTTGCCTTGTCCACATCACTAGGGGTGGGACCACGTGGTGTGGGGGCACCTGTTGGCCTTTGCTAACTGGTCCCCGCCTGCTTGTCTATCCACATCTGTCCACCCAGGTTGGTGGGGCTGAGGTGCCAGAGCGAGTGTCCACTTCCGACGAGGCGCCCACCCTGGCCACTGAGGAGCGGGGTGGCTTCAAGAAGTCACGAGATGTATTTGGCCTGGACTTTGGGACCACCACAGCCAGGCAGCTTGCCCCACCAGCCTCAGAGGTGGGAGCCTGTGCCCTCATTCCCACTCCCTCAGCCCAGGTGTAGGGCCACACGTCACCCCTCTCGCAGATGGGGAGACCGCGGCTCAGAGGACTCCTGGTCAGGTCACAGCAAGTGAGCGGGAGCCGTCCGTGGGCACAGCACGAGGACTGAGTGTCTCCACCCTCCCTGGGCCCCACAGGGGCCTCCTCTGCCCACGCACCCACGCCTGCCATGCCCAGGGGCTGCACCTCCCTCGGGGCCAGTGGTGCCCGTCCTTGGCCACAGCCCAGCCACTTAGCCAGCCCGGATGTGGGCTCCTTGCCCCACCCGGACCTCCTGCTGAGTGGCCCCTTCTACACAGTTGCCCAGTGGGAGGCTCTTCCATGCGGCTGCTGTGATCTCAGACGCCATGTACATCTTTGGGGGCACCGTGGACAACAACATCCGCAGCGGTGAGATGTACCGTTTCCAGGTGGGGCTCCAGGGCCTGCGGGTGGTGGATGGGCCCCATGTCGGGAAACCAAGGCCCAGTGAGTGGGGGGAAGGTGCCCGGTGCCCGTGCGACCTGGCAGGCCGGCAGCTCCTCCAGGAGGCTTGGTGGCTAGGGTGGAGGACCTCGCAAAGAGGCAGTGGCCTCTCCAACCGAGGGTCCGGTCCTGCAGTTCTCCTGCTACCCCAAGTGCACGCTGCACGAGGACTACGGGCGGCTGTGGGAGAGCCGCCAGTTCTGCGACGTGGAGTTTGTGCTGGGCGAGGTGAGTTCCTGCCGACGCCGGTGGGGCGCAGCCTGTGCTCAGCTGCCTCGGGTCCCCGCGGCGGGGCCTCCACCCAGGCCCTGTTTGTCCTGCAGAAGGAGGAGTGCGTGCAGGGCCACATGGCCATCGTCACAGCCCGAAGCCGCTGGCTCCGAAGGAAGATCGTCCAGGCGCGGGAACGGCTGGTCCAGGTGAGCGCCTGCCCTCCCCGCCCCTTCCCAGCCCGGGCCCCATGTTTGTCAGAGTGCCCTCCAGCTTGCCCTCCTCCCACAGAAACCAGAGGAGGAGACCCCTGGGCCGGCTGTGGGCGGTGTCCAGCCGCCCCTGCTGCGCGTAGCCATCCGTGAGGCCGAAGCCCGGCCCTTCGAGGTGCTCATGCAGTTCCTGTATACAGACAAGATCAGATACCCCAGGAAAGGTCGGCCAGCACTGGGGCGGGAGGGCCCAGGGGCCAGGTGGGCGGCTCGAGGCTCCGGCCATCACATGGGACTGCCTGCGTGTGGCCAAGCTGCTGCCTGGTCCCCACAGGCCACGTGGAGGACGTGCTGCTCATCATGGACGTGTACAAGCTGGCCCTGAGCTTCCAGCTGTGCCGCCTGGAGCAGCTGTGTCGGCAGTACATCGAGGCATCCGTGGACCTCCAGAACGTCCTGGTTGTGTGTGAGAGCGCCGCCAGGCTGCAGCTGGGCCAGCTCAAGGTGCGGGCCGGGGACTGCAGCCACCCCTGCCTGCCCCGCATGCTGAGGCTGACCCCGCCTGCCTCCCCCTGCCTCTCTGTCCCAGGAGCACTGCCTGAACTTCGTGGTGAAGGAGTCCCACTTCAACCAGGTGATCATGATGAAGGAGTTTGAGCACCTCTCGTCCCCACTCATCGTGGAGATCGTGCGGCGGAAGCAGCAGCCACCCTCGCGCGCCCCCTCAGACCAGCCCGTGGACATTGGTAGGGAGCCCTCTTGCGCGGCCCGGAGGCTCCTGCTGAGGTGCCTGACCCGACAGGGATGGCAGGACTGTGGGGCCTGAGGTCTGGAGTGCTCAGGGCTGCAGTGACTCATCACCCAGCTGTGCTCGGGGCAGCTCCGAGGTGGTTGGGGGCCTGTGTGGATGGGGATTGAAGCCTGAGCATGCACTCAGCCATGGTAGCTCTCTCCAGCCCCTTCTGTTTCAATTGGGGTCATGTCCGGTGGTTCTTAGTGGACCATGTGGTGCTGGGGGTTGAACCTGGGGCTCCTCCAGGCACAGCACACTCAGTCCTTTGAGCCCCCTTTCTGGTCCACTTAATCTTTTTTAAAAAAATCTTTGTGGTATTGGGCTGGAGCAATCGTACAGCGGGGAGGGCATTTGCCTTGCACGCGGCCGACCCGGGTTTGATCCCCAGCATCCCATCTAGTCCCCTGAGCACCACCAGGAGTGATTCCTGAGTGTGGAGCCAGGAGTGACCAGTTGAGCATCACCGGGTGTGACCCCCAGCCAAACAAGCAAAAAAAGCAGTGTGGTGTCAGGACCTGACATGCAGGGCAGATGCCCCGCCCTGAGCTGGTCCCTGACCCAGAGCCTCTCTTGGTGGCATGGCTGCTATTATAGTCTGCTGCGGCTAACAGTAGCCCGTTGGCCTCTGAGGCCCCCTCCTCAGGCCAGTGCAGGAGCAGAGTGTGGGTCGGCTCAAGCCAGGCTCAGGGAGCTGCTTTTGGGGTTCAGAGACTTGGGGAAGCGGGGAAACAGCTTGCTGTGAGGCCTCCAGTGAGGGGGGCCGCTGTTCTGTTGTGTTCAGGTCAGCGACATGGGCTGATGTGAGGAGCTTGTGCCTGCCTCTGGGCTTTCCAGGGCACAATTAGACGCTGCCCTTGGGCCCGTGTCCCCTGGAGGTTCCTGCCCAGGACCCCCCTGCTCTCACCTTTTCTCCAGGCACGTCTTTGATCCAGGACATGAAGGCGTACCTGGAGGGGGCTGGTGCAGAGTTCTGTGACATCACACTGCTGCTGGATGGGCACCCACGACCAGCCCACAAGGCCATCCTGGCAGCCCGCTCCAGGTGAGGGACGTGGCTGTGGGCTGGGTGGGCCTAGACTGGGCAGAGTCTCCTGAGAGCCAGCCCTTGTCTGCAGCTACTTCGAGGCCATGTTCCGGTCCTTCATGCCTGAGGACGGGCAGGTGAACATCTCCATCGGGGAGATGGTGCCCAGCAGGCAGGCCTTCGAGTCCATGCTGCGCTACATCTACTACGGCGAGGTCAACATGCCACCTGAGGACTCGCTGCATCCTTGCCCTGAGGGTGCACCCCGGGGGACCACTGGGGCATGGCTGCCCTGCTCTAGTTGGGCATTCCTGAGGTCCCAGCACCCTTCGCTGGGATGAAGGACCCTGTCGGGGCTGAGTCATTCTGCAGTTGCGTGTCAGGGTATTTTCCAGGCCAGAGGATGCTGTGGTTTCCTTTGACCCTTCTGTTTTGTTTGGGTCACACCCAGCAGTGGCTCCTCGCAGCTTACTCCTGGCTCTGCACTCAGGAATTACTCCTGGCTGTGCTCAGGGGACCGTATGGGATGCCAGGGATGGAGCCCAGGCCATATGCAAAGTGCCCCACTGGCTCTACTATTGCTCTGCCCCCTCCTCTGTCTCTTAAATTGGGCCTTTGACGTTCCCTATCTCCTGCCTGGATTGGAGCCCCAGGCCTGTCCCTCAGGGTGGGGTCAGGAGCCAGCAGGAGGAAGCGGCCACATACTGGGGGTAGGTACCCAGTGGGTGGGTTCTCCTCTGGTCCGCAGCTCCTTAACCAGCCTCCAGCTACCTGTTTGCGGCCCCCTACTACTATGGCTTCTACAATAACCGGCTGCAGGCCTACTGCAAGCAGAACCTGGAGATGAACGTCACGGTGCAGAACGTGCTGCAGGTGCGCTGGGTCCCTGGGCGGGCAGGCGGTGGGTGAGGCCAGCGGTGCTCATGCACCTGCCCTTGCAGATCTTGGAGGCGGCGGATAAGACACAGGCACTGGACATGAAGCGTCACTGCCTGCACATCATTGTGCACCAGTTCACCAAGGTGAGCCCCCATCCCCTGCCGCGCCGCAGGCCTGGCTCCCCTTTCTGTGTGTGGGCGAGGGGCTGGCCTGGAGTCAGCCGTCTTCCGTGATAGCAGACCCTGGGGCTGCCCACCCCTCACCCCAGCCTAAGCTCTGCACTGCAGGGCCCCCACCAGAGGCTCCACGGCCCAGCCTGGCTCACCCACAAACCCAGCCCTCCTGCTCGGCTCTGCTTGCCTCCCACAGGTCTCCAAGCTGCCCACACTGCGCTCACTGAGCCAGCAGCTGCTGCTGGACATCATCGACTCTCTGGCCTCCCACATCTCTGATAAGCAGTGCGCAGAGCTGGGCGCCGACATCTGAGGGCCTCCATGGTGCCAGTGGACGGTGACCACACCTGGCCTTCTGCTCACTGCAGACTGCAGTACTCGGACCTGCAGGTCAAGGAGCAGCAGGATGCCCCAGGCCTCCGCAGGAGCCGAGGAGAGGGGCCACAGGCAGTCTGGGAAACTGAACTCCTTCAGAGGCCTGAGTGAACCCCTCCTTGAAGGGCTCAGCACTAGGGGCAGACAGAGCGATCCTGGCCCCACTGTGGGGAGGCCATTGCCCCCCACCCAGCAGGCTCCTGAATGCTGCTCCCTCACTCTTGCCAGGTCAGCAGAAGCTTCTCCTGCCACTTAAGTGTGGCCAAGTGATGTGGCAGCATCTAATTCAAGATGAATTTTTGTTTTTATTGGCCACGGCCCGGGGTGTTCAGGGCCGACTCCCGGCAGGGCTCAGGTGTGGTGCTGTGGATCAAACCCAAGTGGGCCGCGAACAAGGCAAGTGCCCTACCCACTGTACTCAGGCCCCTGACTCGAAATGAATTCCGAAGCTTGAAGAGGATGCGCTCTAGCCGAGTCAGCTTTCTGACGGGTTGAGGGTATCTCTGCCATGCTGCCCCACTGGCGAGTGTCCCACTGTACTCTAGGTACAGCCTGTGGCCTCCCATGGCAGAGTACTCAGCCCAGCGCTTGCCTGATTCTCCCCGGATGGTCAGCACCTCTTGGGGTGCTGAGACCCAGCCAGATGGGCTCCACCCGAGGAGAGGACCTCTGGATTCCTGGAGTTGGTTCTCCTGGCCCCTCTGCTCCTGCCTTGCTCTGTAGGCTCCCTTCTGAACTATGAAGCCACACACAGCATACAGTGCCCTTCCTGTGTCCCCCACCTCCCCCGTAGACACTGACAGCCCATTCCAGCCACAAAATGCAGATCAGTCTCCAGGAAAGAGGATCCTTAGGAATGCAAGAAGCCACTGGGGGCGGGAGACCTTTCTGACCTATTAGCTTTTTACCTTCCTCTGGTTGTGCTACCTGCAAGCATCTGCCAAACCCTTGTTTAAGAGCCCTGGGGAACGTGGGCACCCTTAAGCATGGAAAGCCCATCCATGAAGCTAGGAAATGGCCCTGGGCAAGATAAGCTTCCCAACACTTTGCCAGCCCTGTACCCCAGGTGACCCCTATGACCAGTCATAGCTTCCCCAGCTTCTAGACATAGGCGTGACACAAATAAATGAAATGACATCAGAACCCCCCAAGGGAAACCTCTGAATGTTGTGTGGTGGTTTTTAGGACTAAAAGAACGAATTACACTGGCACTTGAGTCTGTATGTGCACATGTGGGTGGCTGGGTGCACACCCAGAAGAGGTCTTGGGGCTCAAATAGCCCCAGGCTCTGTGGTAGACAAATGTACTTGTGTGAGGCTGCCCTGTTTTCCAGGGGAGCAAGAGACAGATGACACGGGTTGGGGCCCAATTGCTTTCAAGCTTCCCAAACTGCCTTACACGGCAGCCTCAGTTCAGAGATGGACACCCAGGTCCTGTTTTGCAGGGTTCCAGCTGCCAGAGCCCCTGGCCAACACTGGGCAGGCCAGGCCTGTGGATGGAAACTGGCTGTACCCCCATGGTGACTGAGTATTTCCAGAGAGCAAGCTCGCTCACATCATGGAGGTTTCAGATGCCAAGAAAAGGGTGCTTGGCCTTGCTCCATGTCTTACTCCTGCTGCCCGGTGGGGTGCATAGATTGGGGACCTTCTGCCTTCCACAGTCAAGAGTTGGGCTGATCCTGTGTGATCCCTCTCAGGGCCATGGTCCAGCCTGGGAAAGGAACCTGGTACCCAGAGAGGAGCCCCCAACCTCCAGCCGAGTCATATAGCAGGTCCTCCTTCTAGAACCCACTTTATTACAGCATCTCATGGTTCTGGTAGGCGAAGAATTGGTTGGGTACCCTGGCAGGTAGATTCAGAGGGTGGCCTGGCAGGGCAGTCTGTCAAGCCTGGTCCAGTGGCTCCCTCAGGCCATGCTGCTGCTCAGCTGCATGGCAAAGTCCTGCACGTGCTCCTTGAGAGTCTGCCGGGCATCTGCCTGTGCCCGCTTCTCCCGTGCCCGCTCCTGCTGTAGCTTGGTCAGCCGCAGTCGCAGCCTCTGTTCCCGCCGCTTGCAGGCCTGCAGCTGGCGCTGAGCTTTGTCCAGGGCATCGAGTGCGGCCTCAGCCCGCCGCTTCCAGAGCAGGGCGCTGCCCACCTGGTAGCTGTGTTCGTTCTGGATATAGGCGCCCGCGGGTGGAGGGAGACGCAGCATGTACGTAGAAGGGGAGACCGGCCGCGGCTCCAGGGGAGACGACTCCCGCTCTGGCGACGGTGATGGCTGGGTGCTGCAGCCCGCTTCGTCTGCCTGGGCGCCCAGGGGCCCCAGGAGGTCTGAGAAGGGGCTGCTGAGGCCGGGCTCCAGCCTCCCCACGGGGGAGGCAGGTAGAGTGGCCGGTGCTGAGGCCTCTTCCACGGGAAAGCAGGCAACATCCGCGGGGGGAGGCGACGGGAACGGAGTGCTGGGCCCTCGGCCCTCTGGGCAGCTGGGGGGAGACACCAGGGGCTGAGTTCCGGGCTCCCGGGCCCCCCAGTCCCGCGCCCTTGTGCAGGGTAACAGGCAGCCCCGGACCTACCGCTTCCTGCAGCGCCGGAGCCGGCCGATGTCTGGGGCCCCGGGCGGGTAGCTGTGGCCCTTGGTCTTACCGGTCCGGCGCAGCTTGGAGAAAGACTCAAAGATGGTGGGCACGGCGCCCTCTTTCAGCCTATGGTACCCGCTGTGGGGGAAGCAGCGGGATGAGCGGGGGAGCGGTGGGTGGGGGAGGGGGCCACCTCCAGGACAGGCCAGCGCCCCCATCCCAACCCGTGGCTGCGGGGGCGAACGGGCTCCGCAGAGGGGTCAGCTCTGCCAGCCAGGGCTCGTCGCCGCGGCCCCTCTGCTGAGGGTGTCCGGGCCTGGCCTGTCGCGGAGGGGCTCCGAGGCCGGCGGGGCGCGGGCCGTCCTCACCTGATGCCCACCAGCTCGAAGCAGGTGTCCTCGAAGTGCTTGGAGCAGAAGTAGATGTACTCGGACGCGGGGTCCCACAGGCCCTGGCCGCTGGGGTCCAGCCGCTGGCAGTTGGCCAGCCACAGGCCGCGCCGCGGGTTGTCCTTCTTGGGCAGCCTGCGGGGCGAGCGACGCGTGAGCGACGCGCGAGCGCCCGCCGCCGCCCCCGCCGCCCGCACCCCGGCCCGCCGCGCCGCCCGCGCGCCACCACGCACGCGCGCTGACCTGTGGAAGGAGATGCCGCGGTTGCGCGTCTCGCGCGTGTCCCGAGTGCAGCAGCCGGCGGCGGAGCAGTGGCGCGGCATCTGGGGAGAGGCGGGGGCTGGGTGGCGGGCGGCCGTCCGGGCCCGCGCCGCCCGCACTCGCCCGGCTCGCCCCGGGGCTGCCCTCGCCCGCCCCCCGCCCCAGCCCGGCTCCGAACTCCCGGCCGCGGCACTCACGGTCTCGCCATGGCTGCGCCGCCGAAATCTCGCGAGGGGCGGCCGGCGGCGGAAGTTGATACCATAGAGACGAGGAAGCGCGTGGCACCCGCGGCGGGAGGGAGGGGCCCGGAAGCGGCGGCAGCGGGCCGCCCCCCCGGCCCCACCTGCGGCCTTCCCCTTTGTTCTTGAGCGGCTCGCTCCCGGCGGTCAGCCCCCGAGCGCCGGAGTGGCCGCGCTCAGCGGCGCCCGGCCCGGTGGAACGCGTCGGAGCGGCGCCGCTGCCGCGTGGCGCCCAGACCCGGCCGGCCGCGGGCAAGGGCACGCCCCCGCGGGAACGGGCGGGAAGAATGGTCCCTAGAGCCGCACTGCCGCGAAGGGTGGGCGGTGCGCACGGAGTCGGTAACGGGGTCGGCAGAAGGCTGGGTTGTAGCGCGCCGGGAGGGAAAACGGCTGGGAACAGTGAAGACGTGCACTTGAAGGGAGCATCAGGAACTGGGGTGCCGCCGGATGGTTGCCTCCCCCGCCCCTCCCACAACACAGGTTGAACACTGCCCTTCCAGCCCCCAGCTGAAGGATTACTATTCTTTGGTTTAGAGAAGTTGTAGAGGTACGGAAAGGTGCTTGTCTTCTCGCACTTGGCCAACCCCAGTTCAAGCACCGGCACTGCATACCGTCCCTTGAGTGAAGAACACCAAAACAGACCTTAAAAGGACTTATGAATGCTGTAGATTAGACAAAGCAATAGGACAGCGGGGCACTGTCTAGTGGGTAAAATGCTTGCCTTGCACATGGCAGACCCTGGTTTGATCCCCATCATCACATATGGTCCCTGAGACCTACAAGAGTGGTCCCAGAGCACAGAGCCAGGAGTCGCCGCTGATCACTGCTGGTGTGGCCTATACTGTCCCCCACCCCAATAAAAATAAGAGTGTCTACTTGGAAGCCATGCCTTGTGTTCAGGGCTATTCCTGGTGGGCTCAAGAGTGACCTCTGTTGGTGCTCAGGGAACTATTACAGCAGGAAGACAAGTGACTAGCCTCCTGTACTATCTCTGGTCCTGAAAAGAATGATCTGGACAGGCAATTTTGTCAGAGTGAAGCACAAGCAGCAGATGCCTCAATACAGAAACTTTAATAGTGAAACATATCTTGTTATAGCAGGGGGTGGGGATGTGGGTGCAAAGGGAGGGCCTGCCAGCCCCATGCTCCCGTTCAGTACTCCTCCCCTTCTTCGGCCTCTGCTTCCACGGAATCCACGCCCACCTCTTCATAATCCTTCTCCAGAGCTGCCAAATCTTCCCGGGCCTCCGAGAACTCCCCTTCCTCCATGCCTTCGCCCACATACCAGTGCACAAAGGCGCGCTTGGCATACATGAGGTCGAACTTGTGGTCCAGGCGGGCCCAGGCCTCGGCGATGGCGGTGGTGTTGCTCAGCATGCACACGGCCCGCTGCACCTTGGCCAGGTCCCCCCCGGGAACAACGGTGGGGGGCTGGTAGTTGATGCCCACCTGCCAGGCAAGAGGAAGATAGAATGAAGTTGATATTGTGGCCTCAGAACTGGGTAGTTTGATTTTAAAATCCACTTGTGGGGGTCAGAGAACTAGCATAGCAGGCAAGGCGCTTGCATCGTACGCAGCAGACCTGGGCTTGATCTCTGGCATCCCATATGGTCCAGAGCCCTGCTTGAAGTGATCCCTGAGAAAAGAGAGCCAGGAATAAATCCTGAGCACCCAGGTATGGCCCAGAAAGTAAACCAAAACTAAAAACGGTCGCTGTGAATTTATATAGAAATTTGACTTTTTTGGGGGGGTGGGGCGAGGGACTGCCAAGCAGTGCTCAGGGACTGTAGATGCCTTAAACAGTTGCCAGAGATTAAACTTTCATCTTTGAGTATGTTAGGCATTCACCCCTGACCCCTGAGCTATCTCCCTGATCCTTATTTAAATCTGGTTTTGTTTTGGGGGGTCACATGCTCAGGGATTACTCTTGGCTCTGCACTCAGGAAATTACTCCTGGCAGTGCTGGGAGGGGCATATGGGATGCCAGGGATCAAACCCAGGTTAGCCAAGTGCAAGGCAAATTCCTTACGAGCTTTACTATCTTTCCAGCCCCTGATCTTTTATTTAACACTCCCTGATACTCGACTTTCACTTTTTGTTTCTGGGCTACACCCCGCAGTGCTCAGGGTTTCCTTTTGGCTTTGCTCAGAGATCACTCCTGGCAAGGACTGAGGGACCATATGCAATTCCTTTGTTGTTCAAAGGCTCATACTTTGTTGCTCACATGCAAGTCAAGCACCTTACTGCTGCGATCGTTCCAACCCCAGCTTGCTCTCCTACATTCAGCCACACAAGAGAATAAAAGCACTCATCTGACAAGCGTGGCCCTGTGTAAACCCGCAGCCCTCAGGGGACACCAGGGTCCCACCCAGCAGTGCTGGGGATTAAACTCCAGACCCATTTGAGACCTGTGTCCCCAGATCCTACAGAAGTCTATATGAAGAAGTCTAGTTTGGTTTTTTTCAGGAGGGTGTACCCAGTGGTGCTCAGGGATTACTCCTGGTTCTGTGCTCAGGAATCACTCCTGGAAGCCTTGGGGGACCATACAGGGTGCTGAGGACTGAACCGGGTTGGCAGAGTATAAGGCAAGTGCCTCGCCTGCTGTGCTGTCTTTCTGCCCCCTCTGTATGCATTTGTGAGGTTCTATTTGTGATGGCAAAACTGGAGACAATTGTCTACATCATGGAGAACTAGCCCAAGTACAGTATGTCCAGTGTGAAACACCAAACACAATCATGAAAAAGAATGGGAAACCTATCATGGCATTGAGATATGTCCAAGATAATATTGTCTAGTTGACGAAAAGAAAAGCTTGACCCATTAATTATTAATGACAGAGCCCTGTGCAGCTAGGGGAACAGGCTGGCGAAGGGTAAACACCTGGGAGTGTGCCAGTGATCTCTCCTGATCTCAGCAGCCAGGCACAGCCAGACACAAACCGGTCTCCAGGGCAGTTAGGAGGGGGCAGGAAGAAGGCACAAGGGTTCTGACCCACAGCTGCCTGCCCACAGGTATAAAGCCAGGCCTGCTAGCTCCTATAGGTAGAAATGCTGAACTTGTCCCTACGGCTCCTGTGAGCAGAGTAGTGTGCCAACTTCATCAAAGAAACCCGCAGCCTTGCCCTGTTGCTGTCCGCATCACCCAGGCAGTAAGAGGCACAATATGCCATGAGTGTGAAGCGAGGATCTCCTGAAGCTGTCCTTTCCCTCAGAAGGGGAGGAGGGCTCTAGTTTCTTTGGCTTCTGCACTGAGCAGTGTGATCGCCCATGCAGATGAATGTTAAAGAAAATAGAGTGTAACACACTCAGTCTAACGAAAAGGCACTTAGTGAGGACTCAACACCCTGGGTACAGGGCACAGGAGAGCTCTGGCCAAAGTCTGGCGTCCTACTGCCTCACAGGAAACCTGGGCATAGGCACAGTGCGGCCACATGTCTCCAGGAGGCTGCTTTGACGGTCTTTCACTCCCAAAGCTCTCCATACTGAAAGAATGTTTCCTCAAGTTACACCAAGAGCTAGACAGAGAATGAAGGATTTCAACTTCAACTAATAGCCTCTAAGGTTTGTAAGCCTCCTGTGTAAGATTTACAGAGTATTTTCAGATCCACGAAAGCTATTTAATCTTACCCTTTTCTGTGATTCACTTTAAATCTGTCAACTGAGGATTGGAAAGGTAGTCCCGGGGTTAAGGCTATTGCCCTGCATGCAGTCAGGCCTGATTTGGTGCCCAGTACAGCATATGATGCCCCTGAGCACCACCAGGAGTGACCCCTGGAGCCAGAGCCTGGAGCCAGCCCTGAGCACAGCTGGCTGCAGCTCCCCCTCCACCCTACACACACACATCTATCAATTGGTGGGGGGAAAAAAGAAGGTAACATAGGGATATTAAGGTTCATGCCTTGCATGCAACTGACAATGGCTTGATCCTTGGTCCCGCCAGAAGTGACTCCTAAGTAGAACCAGGAGCACCGCCAGCTGTGACCCAAACCTGAACTCCTGCCATGTCTGTCATTTTTATCCCTTCAAGAGATGACAAACTGTCTCAAGGTGGAGCTGACAGGCTCACCAACTTTTGTTTAGACAAGACAGAAGCTTGGCCATTTCAAACAGGAAAAGAACAACACATTCTGCTTCTTCTCATTATCAATACTGTGTGACCTTGGAACTTGCAAGTCCCTAAACATCTTAGGTACTCACTAGACTTTACAAATGCAGGGTCCAGGCCAGAGTGATAGTTTATGAATAGGGGTCTGCCTTACATAAAGTTTGATCCCTAGCACCTCATATGGTCCCCCTGAGCATAACCAGGAGTGATCTCTGAGTGGAGAGTCAGAAATAAGCTCCGAGCACTGCCAGATGTGATTCAAAAGCTCATCTCCACCCCCAGCCCTCCCACCCCCCCAAAAATCATCCCCGCACAAATGCAGAAACGGTACCTGTGTCATGCATAAAACTGTGAACAAGGATTTGAACAAAGAAGGCAGAGCGTGAACAAATGCAGGCGTGGCGAGGCACTGAGCTGGTCATCAAAATGTGCCTGGAGCCTGGTGTTCTATTTGGCTTGCAAGCCTACGTTGCTTCCCTCTGGACGTGGCTGAAGGAGCCACCTAATTACTGATATGATTTGTGTCCGAGCCAGTGTTCCCAATCTGGTTGGGGTAACATCAGTGAACCATCATGTGCCACGACTCTCCCCTCCCCCGAACTGTCACTGTCACTGTCCTCTCATTCATCGATTTTCTCGAGCGGGCCCAGTAACATCTTCATTTTGAGACTTGTTGTTACTGTGTTTGGCATATTGAATACGTCATGGGTAGCTTGCCAGGCTTTGCCACATGGGCAACATACTCTCGGTAGTTTGTCGGGCTCTCCAAAAGGGGCGGAGGAATCGAACCCGGCTCGGCCGAACTAGCTGCGCAAAAGGCAAACGCCCTACTGCTGTGCTATCGCTCCCCCAACACAGAATAAATTTAAAGTTCTTTTTACAAGAAACAAACATTCTGGAAAAACAGAAACAGCAGGTGATGAAGGCCCTGGAAAACCTAAAAACCATTATTTTTTTCTCTTTTGGGGACCACACACAGTGCTCAGGACTTCTCACTCCACACT